CAGAGAAAGGTGGATCTCTGTGAGTTTGAGGCTAGTCAGGAATACATCATGAGACCCTGTCACAAAGAAAGTAAAAAAAGGGGGGAGACAGAAATGAAGGAAAAAAAGGAAATCCAGAAGATCATTCTTATTCTAGAGTACAGAAGCAATAGATTGCAACCTATCTCCCCTCAAGTCTTAGAATGTTTCCAGTATAATCACTATACAATATAATTAGTACAGTTACACATACATATTATAGAATGCAATAGTATAAACTATAGAGTTCATATTAAGGAACCCTAAATTACCCCATCGGAATTCATAGCAGAAAACATAAGTCAATTAAGGAATTCAGACTTCCTTAATTGAGAAATTCAGTTAAGAGGTAGCACACCGTAAGAACTGCACATTTTTATTCAATTTTTATATCCTAATCTGAAATGTTATATCCCAATTGTCCTCTCTGATTAATAAATTCAATAGACTAAACTAAATTGGTTTTTTAACTCCTGAAATATAGGTAAGGCCATTTAATTTTCAACTGTTTCAATGCCATGGCTATAAATTGGAAGACCTCAACACAAAGTACATAGCTCAGCTGAGGCTACTTGACACTTCCTCCTCACTGGTCCTTAACTTACCTGCTGTGTGCTCAGATTGCAGAGTACGATATCCCCAGACGCAGTGGCCACACACACAGACTCCTGATCCAGCAGGCCCTGAATACCCACAATGCAGCCACTTCCATCCTCTGGAAGAAAGCCTTCTGCCACCAATGTAATTTCAGTCTTCACCTTTCACAAAGACATACATGTTAGCAAATTAGTGTTTACATTCAAGAGACATCTGACTTCCAAAAGAAAAATGTTTCTAATAATTCTTGTCATATGTAAGATTTATATACTTTTATGTGTGAGTGTTTTGCCTGAATGTATGTATGTGTACCATGTGTATACCTGGTGCCCTCGGAAGCCAGTAGAGTGTGTGGGATTCCCTAGAACTGGAGTTACAGATGGTTGTAAGCTGCCATATAGGCACTGGGAACCAAACTAGGGTCTTCGTTAAGAGTAGCCAGTATTCTTGACTGCTGAACCATCTCTCCAGCCCTAATGATTATTTTATAACAGCCTTCCAAATATATTCCCTGGATTAAAACTCAAACTTTCATTTCAAAAATAATACAACTCTGCTGTCTTTAACAAGAACAGCTAACATAACCTTTTTGCAAAACAAATGCAAAAACAAGTATGTCTGTTTAAAAATATCCATTAAAAATTAAGGCTAATGACTATGCTCTTTATTCACATTTGGCTTTCAATAAGAAAATCAAATCCAGGGCTTCTATAATTGGGCTACATGCCCTGCTCCCTAAATGCAGTTTCCTAAGATTTCTACAGTGTGGGCAAAGACAATAAATCACCTAAATAAACACACGAGTAGCAACAAATAATCAAACTTACAATTTTCAGAAATGTCCACAGTAAGTTCTAGCACTAAGGACTGGGATTTTAGTCAGTTTGGGTTAGAAGTCTAAGCATGCTTTAAAAACTCTACAAGTCTAGGATAGGAAGTTTCAAATTACAGCACCACAAAATAAATAAAATTAAAAGCTCCATGAACCACATTCATGTACATTCCTAACTGATCACTATTATAATGCAAATTCACAGTAGACAGGGTAAAATGTGAGGTACCCACATAAAATATAAGGTCAAAGCTTTGCCAACTTGTCTTACAAAATTAGCAGTTAAAGCTGGCTACTATTTAAGTTATATCTAGTAAGCCATCTACAAAAAGCAAAGGGCGACTATGTAGGAATATGTACATTACTTTGGATTTAATGGGAGAAGGAAGTTTGGAAGAAAATGAGTACAGGGCCAACCCAGGAGCTGGCATCTTCATCAGTGACTTACTTCTCTTTTCTCAGGATCTACTTCAATCAGCCCACATTCTGAGCCAATTAACACTGTCCCCCGTTCAGTTCGGAGAGAGAAGCAATGAGGTTTCCCGGGTGCTTGAATGTCTCTAAATTCTAGTGTCCGGAACAACTTCAGATTTCTCATGATGAAGCGATTTCTGAGGAAGAAAACCCAGATTTCCCTTGATGAAACATTAACGCTGAAAAGAGAAAGGACTACCTTAACAGTGATAAATGGCCATACCCAACATCAAGCATGATTCAGGGAATAGAGATGTGGCCATTAGAATACTGGGGGAGGGGGGTTCTGAACACACCAACATATACACAATCACACTCTCACTTCTTAAAAGTCTCAGCTTTACATAAAAGTAGAGATTAAGTTACATGTTAAATCTGGAGAAATAACCAAATGATAACCACAGCATAGGCTATTACTGTTGCCATGATCCAATCACCATAGTCCACATCCCTCTCCATGAACTTGGATTCTATTCATCAAAATCTGTGCTGCCCTGCACAGGTCTATAGAATCCAGGATACAAATGACAAAGGTAATAGCAAATTGAGAGGACTTAACTTCTTCCCATTATCTGTCTGTAACTGTGACTACATCCTAGCAATGGGCCTTTACCTTTACAGGGAGGCTGAGTCCCATTCTCTGATACTGCCAGAGCCAGCCTCATCACTGCCATCCCTGAGGCAGGATCATTAATCAAGCATGCTACATCTCCAGACACAGAAATCTAGCCCCAGGATTCATCCTGAGTTTCTGAGCATCAATCTAAAGTCTGAGTACTAGTGTTACAGGGACTTTCTACCAAGTGGTAGAGCCTGATGATACCAACATCTGCTGGGTGGTGATCCCTAGCCACAGGGGCTACTTCCTTCAGCATGACTTCTAAATTACTTCAGCACTCCCTTCACTTTCTCTTCCTCAAATAGCTGTTTAACTAATTCTTCAGAATAAATCCTGCTGAAATACTATGTGCTCTCTACTCTTCTGATGGGACTCCAACTGATAAACACAACAAAACAATTTGAGTTTTTAAAAATCACTGAGCTCAGGTCTGGAAAGATGGCTCAGGTTAACGAGTACAGACTCTTCCAGAGGACCTGAGTTTGATTCCCAACACCTATACAGCCATCTATAATTCCAGTTCCAGGGGATCCCATGCCCCCTTCTGGCATCTATGGGCACTTCATACACATGGTACAAAGCAAGCCCATTAATCTCCCTAATGCCCCAATCCTTTTAGCATCAAAACTTACTTCTCTGAATTGTCATACCCATAATCCTCACTCAAAGGAGTGAGGATTTTTAGAGGAACACAGCCCTATGAATTTTTAGAGGAACACAGCCCTATGCATTTTTTGAGGAACACAGCCCTATGCATTCCTCAATGCTTTCAAAGTTAGAAAATGAGTATGTTCCAAGTACTTCTAGGATCATACGCTGTTAAAACTCCAACTCCCGGGCTGAAGGAATGGCTCAGCAGTTAAGAGCACTGGCTGCTCTTCCAGAGGTCCTGAGTTCAATTCCCAGCAACCACATGGTGGCAGCATCACAACCACCTGTAATGAGATCTGGTGCCCTCTTCTGGTCTGTAGGCACACATGCAGGCAGAACACTGTATATATAATAAATAAATAAATTAAAAACAAAAAACAAAAAACAAAACAAAAAAAACCCCTCCAACTCCCCTAGCTCGATGAATTCAACTTTTCCCCATCCACATATGTGCTAAGGGTCCTACGGTACAACACTGAGCATGTCCTAATATTATGATCATTGTTTCATTTTTCTCCTCCTTGCTCTTCTACCCTTCTTCAGGCTAATCATCCTGAATAGGACACATAATATGTAGCTAACTAAGAAGAAGATTAAATAAACCTGTACACATAGCTGTAACTGAACAAGTCCAAACTGAAAATCAAACTCATTATCTCCTGATGTTTTCATAAACAGGTCCTTAGAAGCACATGAAATGCAACCTGAAAAACAGAGAACCTGCTACTCTTTTACCAAAAAACAGCTCACCCTGGTTTGAAAATTACTGTCACCTGTTTCCACAAGCTAAAACTGTCTGCCTCTTTTTCACTCACTTTCACATTGAGGCATTCACTGGTTATCATCGCAGCTCTCAATATACAAACGAATCCTTTATACAATACCTACGATCCGTTATGTGACTTGCGTCACAAATTGCAAAATGTCACCCGCCCCCCCCCACCCCGCGAAGACAAAAGACTACACAATCACTGCCACCACAGAAATCACCGCTTAGGCATGCCAAGCAAGTAAGCACGGGATACACTACTCCACAGAAAAGCCTCAGATTCGATAAAGGGCCCTCAGCACGGCACTGCAGCCTCGGTTATCTATCCCCTTCCATGGCGGCCTAACCAATTCCTGATAGAGGTTTTATTTCCAAGCTGCAAGAAATCCCGCCGCAGGGGGACCCGACCCTCATCCCCGAGCTGTGCCCCAGGATGGCCTGAGGGAACAAGTGTGCAGAAAGCATCCGAAACTCGAGAGAGGCGGGCCACGCCGCCCAGCCAGCACGCACAGGCAGAAGCGCATGGATCTATCTCCCTTGCACAAGGATCGTCCTGGACAGGCAGGACCAGGCCGCGCGCAGCGGCTCGTACTGGCTCCGGCGAACGCTCACCTGAGATGCCCTCGCGGGACTACACCCTCGTCTCAGTCCGCGGCTCCGAGCTCTCACGACGCACTAGGCTTGGGACGGAACCGCCAATGTGCTCGGGAGACACAGACACGAACCACGGATGGGCCAAACCCACGGTCTAGCACAAGAAAGGCGGCGCTAGGCGTGGCGTCACCAGCTAGGCGCGTCGGCGTGACGTCATCACGTAGGCCGAGCTCACCTCTTTAGTAGCTCTCAGGAGCTTAATCTGGCAGTCCAGAAGTAGTGGGGTCGTGCTGTGTGCTGCCTGCTGTCCGTCAGCCCTCTGGCTCCCGGTTGTATTTGTCCCACTGTTGAGTGTTGGCCCCACAGTGCCTGAGACTGGGGTGGAGGCGGGTGGGGAGGAGAGAGTCTGGCGAGCTGCGCGCCTGCGCATAGAGCTACCACGCGGCAAGTACATCTTTCTGGCCTGGACCGGCAGAATGGAAGAGCTCGGGTACCCAGAGGCGGGGTTGACGGGGCCAGAGGTAGCCGTGGCTACCGAGCCCGCGGCGCCCTCCCTTGTGGATCGATACTTCACTCGCTGGTATAAAGCGGGTAAGTGCGAATGATAGTGAGCTTTGCCCTACCGCGTGGACGGGATGCCGTGGAGACTCCTGCTCCACGATGTAATCGTCCATGCTCTTCTCCGAGCTTCCTAGTTCCAGGAATACAGGTTTGCACTGTTGGAGAACTAAAATGGTCGCATCCGATGTGGGAAGCACAGTGCCATGTGTGGGTTGCTTGCAGGAAAGGACATAAGCTAAACTAAGGAACCCGGCGTTGGTCTTTCTGAGCTTACACTGCCTAGTGTTTGTGTGCCTGTGGGGATCAATCCTAGGCCGAGGCGGGAAGAAAGTTTAGGCTGGAGAGAACATTAACAGAAGTTAAGCAAGCAATATTTAGTGTTAAGATCTTATTTTCCACTTGTAGTTTCGAAGTAAGCTACCCAGGTGTTCTGTTTTTGTATGCCCAGAAAATATCGATGCCACCTTTGGGAATTCTTCTCCAACCTTCCTCTATTTTAGCCTTTTTATTTCAAGCAAACTGATGGATGGACAACACACCAACAGATAAAGACTGGGCCAAATTTAGGATAAGCAGCTCTCCTCAGGACTGAATTTTCCCCAAATGTGATTTTGCATAACTCCAAGACAGCCCTTGAGGCTGGAGAGATGGCTCAGCCTTTAAGAGCACTGACAGTTCTTCCAGAGGACCTGGATTGAATTCCCAGCATCCATATGGCAGGTTCCCACTGCCTGTAACCAGTTTCAGGGGGATACAACAGCCTCACATAGACAAATATGCAGGCAAAACACCAATGCACATAAAATAAAAATAAATAAACCATTTTTTTAAAAAAAGCCCCACCGGGCATTGGTGGCACAAGCATTTCATCCCAGCACTTGGGAGGCAAAGGAAGGAGGATCTCTCTGAATTCGAGGCCAGCCTGGTCTATAGAGCAAGTGCCAGGATAGGCAGCAAAGCTACACAGTGAAACACTGTCTCGAAAAACCAAAATAAATAAATAAAGCCCTCCAAAACAACAAAACAATGTAAGCAATGTGGTGCTTACAATAGTGTTTCTCTAATAGAAACAATTGGTATATTCGTTTTAAAGTGACAAGATGGAGGAGTTAATAACCTTACCATAGAATAAATGATTCTATCTGGATTAGGCTACTTAAGCACCCCGTAGCCTTTATTTGACTACTGTCATCAGCATGAGTCTTAGCCTCATAATGAACTATCTCCATGAACCAAAGAAGGTAATCACATGATAATAGCAGATACCAATTCAAGAACCAACAATTCATTTGTTCCTCTAGATGTCAAAGGAAAACCCAGTGAGGACCACTGTATACTACAACACTCCAACCGGTAAGCAAACCAAGAATTTAAATTATCAACACTTTCTTCTGGTGGTTACTCTTGGGCTGGATATAAGCAATTGTCTTCTGCTGTGTTGATATAGGAGTGTGATGGCAAGTACAAGTCTTGTTCAGTCATTTACTAATTTAGCCAACTTGTGCCAACCATTGAAGTGCCAAAACCTATGGAATAGGTTTGTCATGCCTTGTCTCCCACCTACCCCAGGGTTATCGTAAGACCTGTGGTACTGTTCCTTTTCCCAGGAAGGAAATTCAATCCTATTTTCTCCTGTTCCCTTATTATATTCCTCATGCTACAATTACAGTCAAGAGAAAGAAATAATAATTGGACTGAATGAAGGTCAGTTGGATAGTCATCTCTCAATGAGAATACTGTTATAGGAGGAAGTCTCCACATGCAGTAACAGAATTGCCTTTTTTCCTCCTTGTAGAATATGTGTCATCACGCTGGCAGGATCTCACCCCGTTCTTCAAAGTGGCAAAACTATTAAAAGTATTTCCTATCAGATCAGTACCAACTGTAGCAGACTTCAGAACAAAGTATCTGGGAAATTTAAGCGGGTATGTCCCTGTAATTGTGGGGGGGGGTGTTTTTTTTTTTTTTTCTTTTGAGATTTTCTACATCCATGCTATCATGATCCACTTAGCCAGGAGCAGACTTTTTCTGGCAGTTCAATGTAATCATTTTCAGTAAAAACAACGCCCACCCCCACAGAGAGAGAGAGAGAGAGAGAGAGAGAGAGAGAGAGAGAGAGAGAGAGAGAGAAGAAGAAGAAGAAGAAGAAGAAAAGGTACTCAGGAGGTATAATGTCTATTATAGTAGATTCTGTGCTCTCATTCTTTCCTAAAGAGATAAGATGGAATATGAGCCTTTACCTGGTATCCCAGCTCTTGGGTAGCTGAGGTAGCACAATCGGAAGAATGAGCTCTATACTATATAGATATATAGTAAGTACCAGCTGGATAAGGCTATATAACAAAACTCCTCAAAACAAGAAAGGATCTTGGCTCCAACAGCCTATGTTCACTTTAGGAAAAGTTGGTAAAAAGAGGGCATTAAGCACTCTCATTTGCCTGCTTATAGATAGTTGTCACACCCCTGATTCACCCACCTTCCAGAGCATCTAATACAACCATATGTGCTATCAAGTAGTGTACTAAAATATGGCACAAATGGTTAAAAGGCATGTATTTAAGTTAGCTTTGTAGGGTTTATTTAAACATATTGTTTTTATTTTTATTCATGTGTATGTGTATGGGAGCCTTCAGAGGTAGAAAGAGCTTGTCAAATCCCCTAGAACTGAAGTAAAGATAGTTGTGAGCTACCAGATGTGGGTGCTGGGAACTGAACCTGGTTCTTCTTCAAGGGCAGGGAATAGTCTTAGCTTCTACGCTATCTCCCCAGCCCACTAGTTTTATCTTTTAGTTAGAAAAGTACTCCTTCAAAAAGTCTTGTGGAGTGGTTGACCCTGTAAGGAAGTTCCTTTACCTACTAATTTCTAATATAACAGATAGGGATCTTTTGGATATTTTCAGGTTTTGTTTTGAGACAGGTTCTCAACTCTATAACCCTGTCTAACCTGTATGCCACTACACCCCATAGAAGATAGGGATCTTAATGAAACTATGTAGAACATTGCTGCCATATGTTGTATTGAATTTTATCTTGTAGGTTGATTGCAATTTGATTACCGTATGGGTTGAAATCTTTATACCTGGCCATATATAGATTTCTCATTTGCAATTGAAAAATACATCATTAGCCTGTAACTAAACTACCCACTAAAAGATGGTACCTAGCACATAGTAGGTTGTTACGTTGAAGTGCATGAGTAGTTTTATGCACTTAAATCATTTTTCTATAAAACACCAGTTCTAAGACTAGATCCTGTTTTAATAGTGAGGGGTGTACCAGAGGGAAATGAAAACACAGTTAATTTGCTTCTTTTATCTCATTACCCAGGGGGCACAGTTTTTAACAGAACTCGCACCTCTGTGTAAGATTCACTGCTCTGATGGAGAAGAATATACCATATCTAGGTAAGCAGTGTTTTAGCTACCGAAACACAAATGCCCGTGTTCACTATAGTAAAAAATTACTGGCAATTTTTTCTAAAAATTCTTTTTTAAAAATAGCTGTGTTAGAGGTCGATTGATGGAAGTGAATGAAAATATTCTTCATCAGCCGTCTCTTCTTCAAGAAAAGGTAAAGGAGAGGTGGGGAAAGCATGATGCTGTCCATGTGCCTTTTAGAGGTCAGTTGACAATACTAAATGTTCTGTTTCCCCCCAGCCCTCCACTGAAGGCTACATTGCAGTTGTATTGCCCAAATTTGAAGAAAGTAAAAGCATAACAGAAGGGTTACTAACACAGCAACAGTATGAAGAAGTCATAGTAAAAAGAAATAATCCTACAGCCACATCATGAGCCCTGAGATGGAGAGACAGCAAAGGATTCTCACCCTGCTTGGCCTCAACCGTCAGTTCACTGAAGAAAGCAAGTGTATGTGAAGTATTCCTCACACATGGCCACAGGAGAAGCCTAATCCTTCATCTAACCTAATTCCCCTCCTTTGTCTTAACATCACAAGCCTTGGTCCCCATTTGTAGTCAAGCTCTAGGATCTACTTTGCCTAGGTACTTGCTTTGGGTGTTTGCTTGCATATGTACATCAGAAAACAACTTTGAGTTTTTACCTTTTGTTAGACATGCTCTCATTGGCTTAGAACTTTGCCATGAAGTTCCAGGGAGACACCCATCACCTCTGCCTCCCATCTTGCAAGGCTAGTATTACAAGTACACACACCATACCCAGCTTTTATATGGGCCAGAAACCCCAAACTCAGGTCTTCATGTGTTCAAGGTGTATTACTTTTCAGTGTCTGTGATTGATAAAATACCATAACCAAAAGCAACTTCAACAAGTGTTTATTTGGGTTGTAGTTCTAGAATACTAGATGTCCACCCTAGTAGGAAGGAATGGTATCAAGAGCAGGACGCTGAGAGATCACATCTCCACCATACACAAAAAGCAGAAAGTAAACTGGAAGTAGGGTAAGGTTATTAACTGCCCCTAGTCATGTAATTCCCCAGCAAGACTTCTTGTACTAAAAGTTCTGCAACCTGGGGACCAACTGCTCAAATACATAAAGACTTTTTTTTTTAAATCAATCTTCATTCTTCTCATGATCCCTATAAGCCCATAGCCATGTCATGCAAAATGCAATTAATCCAATATCAAAAATCACCATAGTCATTCCTTCTCTGAAGTCCAAAGTCTCTTCTAAGACTCAATGCAGTCTCTTGTGTCCCTGAGTAAATCAAAAAACCAGTTACATACTTCCAACATACAATGGCACAGAATATGCGTTCCCATTCCAAAAGGAAGGAATGATGGGCATAGTGAGGAAATACTGAACCAAAGCAAGACAGAAACCAGCAAATTCTGCAGCTGCATGTCCACTATCTACGGGTTTGGTTTCAAAGGAATTAGTTGACTGCCCCTCCAGCATTGCTGCCTGCATCATAGATATTTTTCTGCATTGTTCTGTTCTGTGTGCAACCCTCCTTGGCAAGATGTTTCACAGCTTTGGTATGTCCAGTGTCTTTGGGCCTGCACTACAACCCAGCTCCATGTGTCCTCTCATGGCCTTCTTGCAGAAACTCCATCTCTACCATATGCTGCTTGGCCTCTAGCTTCCTGAAGCAAAGAAGGAAGAATCCAGAATCCGTTCATTCTTTTATGCCTCCAAAGCTAATATCATGAGGAAAATACTTGATCATATCCACAGCAGCTCTTGTGTTATGTTGTTTCTAGGAGCAAACAGCCAGTATATTAGGCTGTCTTTCATAGATTGGAGGTTTATCTGGGTGGAGTCTTGCCTTAGCCAGCTGTCCCACTGTTCTAGTGTAGAGCAGACTTCTCTTTTTTTTTCCTTAAATATATGTGTATATATATGCATGCATGCATGCTCTATCTGGATATATGCCTGAATTCCAGAAGAGGGCATCAGATCCCATTATAGATAGTTGTGAGCCACCAAGTGGTAACACAAAAAAACACAATCAGTGACCCAGAGACAGATATGAGAGTTCAGCCTAAAGATCAGGGAAGCAAAGCAGCCAAGCTGCCAGAAAGCTCTTACCTCTAAAAGGGCTGAGGCGTTCCTATTCTCAATGTGGATGGAGAATGAATGCCTTATACTAACACCTTGCTCTTGTCTTATATACCTCCCTAATGCTGGGAATAAAGGCATGTGATCCCAGGTGCTGAGATCATCTTTGTGAGAGCTGTTTCTCTTTAGGAATGGATCAGTCTTGCATAGATCTAGGTGACCTTGGATTCACAGAGATCAGTCTACCTCTTAATCCTGAGTGTGTACTACCACCTCCTAGCTTCTGACTGCTAGGATTAAAGGTATGTGCCTGGCTTCTATGGTGTGTGGCTGACTTTGCTTCCTGAATCCTCAGGCAGGCTTTAATAAATCATAAATAATATTTCACCACACTAAGCGGTTGCCAGGAATTGAACTCAGTACCTTTGGAAGAGCCACCCATGCTCTTAGCCACTGAGCCATCTCTGCAGCCCTAGAGCAGGCTTCTTAATAGCACTAATCTCTGGTAATGACAGTCTTTCCCAGCACATGACTTCCTTGTGCTCTTTTCTCCATGTTGCACATTTTGTATTTTTGCTAGACATGTTCATTTTGTTTTTTCTTTTTCTTTCCCTTTTTATGTTGTCTTGACACAGGGTTTCTCTGTGTAGCTTTGGAGCCTGTCCTGGAACTCCTTCTGTAGACCAGGCTGGCCTCAAACTCACAGAGATCGGCCTGCCTCTGCCTCCCAAGTGCTGGGATTAAAGGCGTGTGCCTCAGCCACCTAGCTTGACATGCTCATTTCATTGGTCAAAGTTACACTATCTTAAATATCTATTGCCAGAGAAAGTAGTCCATTACTTAAATTCAGCTTCATGTCAGTTCTCAGGACTTGGGTAAAAAGTAACCAGATTCTTTGTCAAAGGGTAACAAAACTGGCATCTAGCCACTTTGCTTTGTTTCTCTCCAAAACCTAGGAGCCAGGCCTCTACTTAGGTTCAGAACAGAAAATCTTGTTTCACAATGCTCTCATTATTCAACCATTTTTCTGGCCCAGAGTTCCAGTCTTCCAAATTCTTCCAAAAAACAACATGGTCACATTTTTTTCACAGCAACAACCTCACGTCTTGGTACCAAAGTCTCTATTAATTACCTGTCTGTTGCTGTGATAAAACACCATGACCAAAGCAACTTAAGAGGTTTTCTTGGCTTGTGGTTCCAGGGGGTTAGATGTCCATGGCAGCAGGCACAAGGAGCTGAGATCAGACCACCACACACTGGAGGCACAGTGAAGTGGGAATGGATCAAGGTTATAAACTCAAAGCCTGCCCCCAGTGACATGTTTCATCCAGCAAGTCTCTACATCCTAAAGTTTGTAACAGCCCCCTACAATGCCACCAGCTAGGGACCAAGGGTTCTGAATACATGAGACCATGGGGAACATTTCTCCTTCAATCTACAACAGGAGGCACACACAAATGGCAAACAAGGAATATTTTTCTGATTAAAAACACAAGCTCTTGAGAAATATTTTGAAAAGTTTTGCATTCCTATAACCTGGGAGTAAGTAGTACCTATTAACATAGCTCCTGCTTGAATGCTATGGTACACTTACTTCTTCTGCCTCAACTTTTTTTTAATGTGTTTTCCCACATGTATGCATGTGCAGTATGTTTGTGTAATGCCTGTAGATGCCAAAAGAAGACATCAGACTCCTTGGAATTGAAATTACAGATGGTTTGTGAGCCACCATGTAGGTGCTAGGAAGTGAACCCAGGTCCCCTGGAAAGGCAGCCAATGCTATTAATCTGTAAGCCATCTCCAGCCCCTTGCCTTAATTATTTTTTAATAATTAAGTCCAGCCCTGTCCCTTCTGCTGTGGCTTTTCCCCTCTAGGTTGCTGGAGAAACAGGAATGTGGAGTCTGCCTTCTATTCTACATGGAAATGCTTTGAAAATGTACAAGGCTCTTCTAAGAAATGGAAGAATTATGCTGCAGTGTGGAGCTGGCTCCTGCTAATGCATAGTGGTGACTCTATCGTGCACGTTTTATTGACAGCTAGTTTGTAGTAATGAAGGTATGTCAGTCTGTCATGCGGAGGCATAGATGTCTTAGCACAGAGCAAGGGTTTTACATTATCTAATTAGAAAAAAAAAAACAGCTATGAAGTTCTGGTTTTAGATTAAACATTTACACTGAATTTAAAACAAAAAGACCTTAAATCATGAAACTTTGTAAAGGGCGCAACATGTAGTAACTGTCAGTCATTTCCCTGTTTTTAATGAAATAATTGTAAGTACAGCCAAGCAGAGTTTATTGAAAAGAAAGAAGTAGCTCCCTGTAACCTGGAGGGGATTAAAACTAAATTTCCTTTAAATAAAGTAGTTTTATACAGATGAAAGCCTGATTTGTAAGTTCTGTCCTCTTGTCTGTTGACATCATTTTACCCTGTTTCCTCACCACCACCCCCAGGAGCCTAATTATACTTTCGGGTGTGTAAAGGTATTCTGTAAATATTTATAAGGAAATTTTCAAAAATATTTTTTTAGTTCACAAGAGAAAGTTCTTATAACCTGAGTGACAGTGTCGGTGATGGGATGAAAATTAAGCACACAGCAACAGAGCCTCACTTAGAGTGGCAGAAAAATTCTCAGAGACTCATGCTGAGAGTCCATATCTGTTGCAAAGTTGTATCTTTCTTCACTATTTTTATTACAAGTTAAAAGAATGTTTTGTTTCACAGACTAAAAACCATGCTAGACACAAAATGGTAAGGTTGCAAGGGCACTTTTAATTTTATTACTGATCAGTATGTTCTCACCTCAATGGATCAAAATTAAACCAGTTGGTATGAATTCAGTTACTGTACATAATTTTTATTGAAGTGTACATTGCCATGTTTAATACTAATTAATAAGCCTTATTTTGTTGACCAAAATAATGACATTGTTACCACATACCTGGTGGCCCTTAACAGTTTTATTGAGGGATCTGCTTTATTGCTAAAATATTTCCACCGAAATCCAGTAAAGTTAGCATCCTGCTTCTCAGTTTAAAAAGTAGTCAGAATTTTCACTTGTATAAGTTGGTAACAATCTTATTTCACAGGAGATGGTTCCATTCAATCATGCCCTATAACAGCCATCTGCAAGATTACTCCACTGCTTTAGAATGAATGCTTGTGTTGACATCTGCAATGGTAGCTAAAGAAATACTTAGCATTCCAGCCACTATCCAGGACTATGTGGTCAGCTATGCATACTACAGCTAGAATAAAAAGCCATTTCCTCTTCTGACTTTGCTCCAGGATTCTTTGGAGTGACTTCTGTTATTTTTCCTTTCTGGAGCATGCAAGGGACAGATGTAGCCTAATAACCTTACTAGGTGAAATGCTTGTTAGAAGCAACAGTGCTAGGAAGGCTGTGACCAAGCATTTGAGGGACCCTTAGCCTGCATCAACAAGAATTGAAGAAGAGTCCACAGGTCTAAGAAAAACTCTGCATTCAACCAGGCCACTTTTTATTTTCTGCTGAAATTAGTGTTGTAGATAATCAGCTTAAATAAAAGAGTTAGGGTGCCAAAAGGGAGTATGCATTCACGGTTGCGTCTTTGGGATTCAGCTGTCGTTAAGACAGTTGAGATATTTGGTGTGTGCTGAGGAACATTCTGAACAGTGTCTACTTTAAAATTGCACTGCCATTAGAATCTTAGCAACTGCCACAGCAATGACTGTGGTTAAGCTCTCTAATCTGAGGGGAAAAAAAGAGAGATTTCAGCATTCTCTTTAGAAAACAGATGAATTTCTGAAAGAACAAAGGATCAATTGCTTTTTTAAAAGGTCAGCTGTGCCACATGATATTCCAGAGATGAACTGCAGGCTGCTCAGGTTTTACCATCCATGATATCTTTTTTCGTCACTGAGACCCACCTGTTACTTTCCACCTGGAGGAAAGGGTTAAGACAATTAGCTTGAGCTGTGCTCTGAGAACAAACTACAAAGTATTAGTGCACACACTGTTGTTTTCCATTAAGTTAGTAAGAAAAGGTTGAATACAAAAAACCATCTCACCTTCTTCAGTAACTTATAGCAAAGTGACAGGAGCTGGACCACGAGAGCCATCATGGATCTTATCTTTGTAATACACTTGTCAACCTGTGGTTACAAAGCATGCATGTCATTCTAAAAACAGTACTTCAAAAATGTTACCTATTTGGTTTTACAGTGGTGAAGTTTCTCCGTCATGGAAATCTAAGAGATCTTGAAAGGTGTAGATCAGGGTACTTTGAGGCTCCAGAACACAGCACTGACTACTTGATTTCGTGCCTATTTCATGGAACCCCAGGAAAGAGGGTTTTACTTAAGCTATGATGAACATCTCAAAACACTCTACACACTGACAGTGCACCCCCTACTTGGCAATTCTTAACACTCTGCCCAAACTCCTGAGGCAAAAACAACCAGTTAAGGACTCGGAGGTAGCTGCTCAGTGCTAGGAACTAGTCTGCAGTCTGAAATCTAATTTTGGTGACTGCCCCCCCAGGTCAGTCACAGAGCTGCTGCTTTTAGACAAGCATGAAACAGGCTTTCTGTGCACTTAGCACAAAGGGCTGGAACTAACCTGATAAGGAGATGGACGTGAAATGTTCTCAAGTGTTTCCCCAAAAACCCACCCTCTGCTTTACCTTGAGGAACACTTTATTCTGCAAAGACGTCTTAGTTATTGTCTGGAGCTGGTGGCATAGAGGAATTAGCTTGTTTATTTCCAGGAGAAGCATAAGTTTGTCATCATCTTTTAGCTGAAATGTAATTTAGGAAGTTATTGCAACCACAACAAAACTCCATCTTTTATACTTTTTTACCCTTTTAGATAGCATCTCACATGTAGCCCTGGCTGATCTGGTACTCACTATGTAGACCAGGCTGGCCTCAAACACATAGAGACCCACCACTGTCTTCATCTTTTGAGTGTTAAACCATACCTAACCTACCTCTCTCTTTTTTCCTTAGTGCTTGATTTTTTAAATACAAAACTAAGATCATGAAACAGTATTTGTTTGATAATGATGTATAATTTCCACAAATCATAAATATTTGTCATATTTTGTCTTTTGTGGTACTGCAGATAGAACCCAGGACTTTGTGCATACTAGACAAGGTCTCCCACTGGGTTAGATCCATCCCCACAAGGAATATTTATAATCACACAAAAATGTACACAATATAACAGAGTAACAAAAATGGAATAACATAACAGAATGTTCTCTGAATTTGTGCCTAGCCTAGATCTTATGTACCTTTGTGTTAGTAATAGGATTCCAGTGTTAGTATGTGAAATCACTAGCCCCGGACAGGTAGACATGCATTACCTGTTTTGAAAATGACTGTACATTTGAAGTAAGTTTTAATCCCTCTGCAGCAAAACCCTGGTAGAGAAGGAAAACAGCAATGAGATCAGTGTCTTCTGGATGGCTGGTAAATAAATATGCCCAATTATCTCACAGAGTTAGAAAATAACCCAGACATTAAGATTAGCCCCAGAGCTCCTAACTTTTTTATTGTACCATGGGAAACACCAGGGTTTAGCTGAAATCAGAAATTTTCCCAGAGCTAATCAAAATCCTCCGAGAGGCTCCTCTATACATAGAGACATCCAGTTATTCTGCAGAGCTACACAGACCTGGGACCCGCAGCCACACAATTAACAATTCCTTTCTGAAGGGATCCCTGAACCATTTCATAAGATCTCCAGTTACAGAGGGGAGTCATTTTTCTTCAGGGTGCAGCCCCTGGTCACTTGTCATAACCTCACACCTGTACACATGCTAGCAACCCCAATTAAATAGTGAGTTTAAAAAAAAAAGATGAGAGTAGGGAGGACATGACCTGAGAAGAAGGAAAGCAAGTTCCTGAGGGCGAGGAAAGAGGGTAAGAGAAAGGAATGCAGGGGGGAGAGTAAGATCAAAATGCATTGTGTACGTGTAGAAAGAAAATGGTGAAAAAATAAGCCTTTTTTTTTTTTTTTTTTTTTTTTTTTTTCAAGATTTTATTTATTGGGCTGGAGAGATGGCTCAGAGGTTAAGAGCACTGGCTGTCCTTCCAGAGGGCCTGACAGGTAAAAACAAAAATGAATTGGGGAGGGTGAAAAAAAAAAGGGGAAAAAAAAAACTTTTTTTTTTTTTTTTTTGAATCCTCAAGTATAAGAGTCATGAATCCTGGAGAATGAGGTCAGGTTAGAATTCTGCTGCTTCCACCTATCCATAACCAAATTTGCTTCCAGACACTGGCTATCTGAGAGGACCAATCCAGACTGTTAGATTTTGTTCAAATTTTCAGATTTTGTTTGTTCACCTTGCATTTTACAATTAAGAGAACAGGACTAGGGAGAGGAGCTAAAACCTAGGCCAGACAAGTTTGAGTAATAGTCAGGGCACATTAAAATGAAGAACACATGAGACACTTTAAAACTTCGCCTCAGGGGCTGCAGAGATGGCTCGGCTGGAAAGAGCACTTGCTATCCTTTCAGTTCCCAGCACCGAGCTACCCACAACCACCTGTCATTTCAGCTCTGGGAAACCTGACACCCTCTTCTGGCCTCTGAGGACAGCTGCACAGTGGCATTCAGACACATTTGTGCACACATGCACTCATGTACAAGTGCATACAAATAACAATAATAAACCTTTTTACAATGCTACCATAGCAGTAAGGGATGAGGGCAGATGTACCTGACAACAGTAATAAGGCAAAGATCAGAATAATTTAGGAAGAAAAATAGTCCTGGTAGTTAACTAGGTAAAGAATATGGAAAGAGAAAGGGTGAACTTTGACCTTCTAGTCACCAGCTTACTACCTTGCCATTGCTGGTTAACATGATTTCAAGGTGAAATAGCTCCCTTTGCACTTTTTCCAGCCCTGGAAGGGGAACCAGCAGCTTTCTGTTAGCTTCGGTGGGCACTGAATGATTTACTTCCCTACATCCCTCATTATTCCACACTCTCACAGTTCTCACAACGCTGCTGTGTCTGTCTCACTGAGTGTCACAGTTGTAAAAGCACATTAAAGCCAAGAACTCCCCAAACTCTGTCCAACCTGACATTGACCTTTGCCTTCAACATGATGCTTGATTTCCTGCTTCTCAGCCCTGAGTGGACTCCCCAGCATCACACTTGAAAACAAAAGAACAGTAAGGTTCTGCAGAGATGCCATGCCTGCCACCACTTCACTGTGGCTCAGCACCACCTCTGCACGGCCTCCTGAATCTTTCCTGTGCATCTGGTATCACCGCCATTGCACTCGTTCCGCCTGTGAAATGTTCTCACCCCACATACCCTTCCAACTCTCCCTTCAATAGCGAGCCTACTCAGAAGGCACCTTAGAGAAGTCTTTCCAAGCACCCCCACCACCTTTCTCTCTTTATCCTACATGATCTTATCTCTCTGAGTACTTGGGAAAACAAAACATACCTCTAGAAAGTGAATTAAGTCGTGCGACGTTTTCAGTGGCCCCTCTCCTCTAAAATAGAAGTTATTAGAAGACAAATATTACCTGTACATTGGTTTATGTAACATTTATGTTTTAGAGCATTCTGTATATTAGCAGAATTCAATTTTTTAAAGGAAAACATGAACACACTGATAATATTGTGACTTTTTCTTGAAATAACTATTATTTACTAAGTTAAAATTATATATGTTAATTTCATAACATAAAAAAAACTGAAAGTGGACAGTTAATTAGTGCTCTTTGTCCTTTTTATTTTGCTTCATGAATAAATACATGATATCTGGTAATATGTCTGAACCAAAATACATTTCTTATGCAATCAAAAGAGCAGACCAAAAGCCACTAAGTCCACAGGTCAAATGTCAGCCCTGGCAGGAACTCATCTACAGCTTCAATGAAGCATATATAAAATTCCAGTTCTAGATATAGAAAATAATCATAGTACAACTTGTGTTGACAAGTTTTATCAAGGAGTTTAAAAGCTACCAGTAATTAAGAACAATGAACAAAATGAAAGTAAATTCCAGCAGAATTCATTAGAGGGTGATGGTCGAGGCACAAATCAGAGGATGAGCACTCCAGTAGCAATGCCTGCACTTAACAGGTATGAGGGCCAGTAAATCCTTCCTGATCTGATGAAATGCTGAGAGGGGCAACCCGAGCCGTGACACAAACCCATATTAAAGTTATAAAGAACTGACAATTTTGAAAAAACATTGAAAGTTACTAGATATCTTCAATATTTATTAAGAACTGTGAATTGTTATATAGAAATCATTATTAATAGATTATATAAATGATTACAATGATTTCAAACAATAGCCTGAGGAAGGGCTATAGACATGCCCAGGAAAACTACAAATCTCTTCAAGACTGAAGGCTAGCAACTGGGCTTGCAAGGAGTACCTAGATTAGCTTGGTAAAGCATGGGACTTAAGGGAAATGGAAGAGACAGTTGAGGAAACGTGCAGACACTGCAGTAAAGTAACAACATGTGCTTTGACCACAAGGAGATAATTACATTATAGAGACCTGCCTAAGTGAACAAGTCATTATACATTCGTGTGCTACAGGAATTCTGTTTTCCTGAACCTTATTCTTTCTGTCCCAAAACCTTATATCCTAGCCCACAGAGCTTCAGCCAGCCTCTGACCCTCCATGGAGTTGTCCCTCATACTTCCCAATCTTTTCTCACCTTTAAAAAAATCTATTTATTCATGGTTCATGCCTGTAGTCCCAGTTCTCAGCAGCCTGAGATAGGAAGATTACTGCAAGTTCCAACCCAATGTGGTCTATAGTGAGAGACCCTGTCTTATAACTACCTGAATAAGCAAATATGTAAACTAACCAAAATGTCACCGCCTTACCTAGTAAATAAATACAGCGAATAGGCCATCCTGGACATGTTCCGTCCGTGTCGAGCGATCTCGTTCTCTTGATCCTCCCACTTCTCAAGTTCACAGTCAGTATCGGAGGTGAGCAAAGCCAGCTTCAGCCCCAGCTTTGCTATCTTGGCCTGCTCCTGCAAACACACTCAATCACAGGTCTGTCCTTGGAAGGGAGACTTCACAACTCTGTCGTTATTGATGTAAGACTGTTAGACAACCATAGAGCTTACCTCTGAATCCGGTTTGTCGGGCTTTAAAGATTTCAGGTTTGCATTATTCTTCTGTGACAATGAAAAGATCAGAAAATCTTAGCATTTAATTGTGAGGAAAGACGGCAGTAATAGAAAGCATACGAACTTGTGATGGACCCTAACTTCCCCGTACCCACCAGGGAGTTAAATTGCAGTTAACCACACTTGTAAAATATTCTACTAGGTAACTTCTGCTAAAGCAACTCATCAATTTGGTACTCAGGGCCAGGGGCACAAAGGATCATGTCCAGCAGTCTGTTTTCTGTGTTGCTAACCACCATCCTCTTTTCACAAGGTCTTTAGGGGCCTCAGGACAACACCTAAAATATTCTCAGAATCAAGTGATAATGTCTTCCAAAGCTCCCTGGCTTTTCTGTTACAATAAGAATATTGTAACAGCTGGACAGTGGTGGCATACACCTTTAATAATCCCAGCAATCTATAGTTTTGGGCCAGCCTGTGTCTTGGAAAAAAAAAAAAGAACATTGTAATTAATATTTGAACGATTCTGATGAAATAAATGTCTATTCAAGTTAATCACTAAAGATTGTGTAAGTACTTTCCTACTGGTTATGACTCTATCATCTAATGCCTTTCACTCTCTGAATTCTGACACCCTAGTTTCACTGCCTAGTTTCTGACACCCTAGTTTCACTGTTACAATATTAGCACAGGTGCTAATCCTGAAGCCCAGGTTATAAAAACATTACACTTTGAATTTAGGATTTAATGTCAACCAGTACTCAGTGGTCTCCTATTTTAGAAAGAGCATGTTTGTTTTCATATAACTATTAGGAACTCAATGCATTTCCTCTAGATGAGAAGAACCTAACATAGTCAGGACACCAGGCTAGTTCAGAGATACAGACCTGTTAATATCAAGAACTACAATATGTCCTACCACTAACTAGAGCAATGTTTCTTTGAAATATATGTGCAAAAGTTCCTTGGAGATGACAGCATACAGTGAGAATTTCTCCTACTCCGAGACACATTAAGAGCTCCCATAGTTAGAGCAGGAGTTCAGGACAGGGAGGGTCAGCAGAGAAAAAGTGAACAATAGCTGGAGAAAGCCATTGGTCCAGTGAAAACACATATCCAAATTACACACACACACACACACACACACACACACACACACACACACACACACACACAAGATACACAATGTATTTGCATATGTATATGCAAGATGTGGATTACAGTCAAATAAACACTCATGTGCCTGTCTAGCTTAAGAAAAAGATGAAAACTTTTTAATTTTTTTAAACTTTGTTTTATGTGTATGGATGCTCCGCTTGCATGAATGTATGTATGTGCACCATGTGTATGCCAGGTGCCACTGGAGGCCAGAAGAAGGTACCGGATCCAATGGAGCTGGAGTTATAACTGTAGCATTTGAATCCAGGTCTTGTGTAATACCAGTCACTGAGCTTAACCACTAAGCCATCTCCCCAGCTCTCATCACCAAACTTTTCAAATATATATACAGATACCCCTCAATTTATTAATGGGATACATATTGGTAAACCCATCATAAATTGAAATTGTATTAAGTAAAAAAATGCATTTAAGAGCTACAGTTAGAACACTTCCATACTATCTATGTAAGACTCCAGGTTCAGTTCCCTCCCCCCAGTTTCACCAAAAAGAAATGCATTGAGAATAGCAAACCTATCGGCACAGCACACAGCATCGCTTGTTTCTGTTAAGCTTCACATACCTTCCTAGAAGCTTCCACTCACTGACATTGCCCAGCATTGTGAAAGAGGATCACAGCATTGAGGGCAAGCTTGAGAAAAGATCAAAATTCAAAGTAAAATTTCTATTCAACATTGTGTGATGTAACCATGTATACATTAGGGTCCATCTGTACCTGCATGTCTGCACATGTTTGAGACAAGGAGGGAAAGAAAGGAAGAGAGTCATGTGTCACCTAACAACGTTTTCATTAGCAACAGGCCAAATTTACCATGGTGGTCCCATAAAAACATGTCAGTGCTCAGTGGTCAAGAGCACTCCCTGCTCTTGTAGAAGATCTGGGTCTGTTCTCAGAACCCAGATAGCAGCTCCAGTTCCAGGAGATCCAATACCTTCTTATGGCCTCTATAAACACCAGGCACACAAATGGTGCACATTCATATATGCAGGCAAAACACTCATATACATACAGCTTTAAAAAATGAATTTAAGACATCCAAGAACATCGTCTGTTACATAGTGAGTTCAAGGCCATCCTGTGACAATTGATCCCTTATCTAAAAAAAATTAAAAAAAAAACTCAAAATGACGAAATCACCTGTGACAAATTTCCCAGAGCATGTTCCACTGTGAAGTGATAGCCTCCTGCTTTATGTAATACACACACACACACACACACACACACACACACACACACACACTCACACACACAATACACACATGCACACACATGAGCTAGTAGGTAGGTATCTTCCTTACATCTGAACACAAACTTTGTGATATTTCCTATTGAAGACAGGAGCGTAGGAAGACAGACAATAAGTTAATATAAACTATGCTACTATACACATACATGTAAACACGAAAGAACAAAACTATACTCATGAGAACTAAACTGACTCCTTCTGGGTGTCACTTAGTCTTTAGTTTCTTCTGTGGCCTAGTAGACCACAAAGCAATATGTGAACAACACTCAGCACCTTCTCAGTACTTTCAGGTTTTACCTAGACTTTATTCCTTTGCTGCCTCATATAAACTAGTTGTGTTACATGATTTTTATTTTCACAAATTTCATTGCAAAAGTATTTAATGAATGTTAAGGGGACTTGCAGAAAAGGTAACCAAACCATCTTTAAAATGTGGCCATGGGACCAGCATCATAGCTCAGTGGACACAAGTCCTTGCTTGTTGCCTGGCCTGACAACCTAACTCTGGTCCCCAGGACCCATAAAGCGGAAGGAGAGACCTGAATCCTTCACACTGTCTTCTGACCTGCACATACCTACCATGGCACATGCTCATATCACTGTCAGCCCCCTCCCAGAAAAATAAATAAATATAAAAAGAAAGAACAAATTAAAAATGTGATCAAGCCTCCCACCTAGTGGACACTATTTGGAAATGCAGTTTGTTATGTAAAGCTGAAGATTTCCAAAAATAAGACTATGTTTGCTCTCTAAAAAAGGAGTTGAATTTTTCCAAAGTTAGCTGTGCTACAATCAACTAAGGAAATGGTTCAGATTTTGAAACGATGCTACTAAAGATGGGGTGGGGGACGGAACACACCACTATGTTCAATAAAATCTTCCTTCCACTCAACCCAGTAGATTCTGAGATGTCTTTTCTGTCTTTTCCCACAGCACTGGGAACGGAGTCCAGGCATGTCCATATGAGGCAAGTGCTTTCTCAGTGAGCTACAGCACAGACTCTCTTTTCTTGTTTTGTTGTTGTTGCTTTTGTCTTTTGTTTGTCTTAGAGCCCAGGCTGACATCAAATCATGTTTCTCAGGCTTCCGAGGGCTAGGGCATCAGGTGTGCACTTCCATGCCCAGCTGCAGGATGTCTTTTCTTACTCTAAATGTTCTCTAGAAGCCCCAACTTTCAGCACATAAGGCAATCAACATATCTTCATTTAATTAAATACAGTAGGATATAACTATTGTCATCCATTGTAGTCAAGGTGAATTGAAATAGGAAAATTAGATAAAACTTATATTTCCAAACTGTTTTAAGGATAAATTAAGGCACAGAAAACTGTTTCCCCCTACCAAAAAAAAAAAATCACTAAGAGATTTTTTCAGTTTTATATTTGGATTTCTTCTACCTCCATTCAGTTTCAAAAGTATTTCAGCACCAACACATGACAGTGTGTGTGTGTGTGTGTGTGTGTGTGTGTGTGTGTGTGTGTGTGTGTAAGTGCCCACAGGCTTCAGTTTCAGGGGGTTGTGAGCCACCACACATGGGGAATGAGAACCATACTGTGTAAGTGTAGTTTGCACTCTTGTCTCAGTAGCCCCCATCCTTTGAAAATCTTAGGGTTGGCCTTGTCATCTGTTCTCTTCCCCTAAATCAGTCATTCCCACTGCTATTACTATTCCGACAGACATAAACGTTTTATTTTGAGTTGGGCTGTGGTGGCGCCTTTAATCCCAGCACTTGGGAGGCAGAGGCAGGTGGATCTCTGTGATTTTGAAGCCAGCGTGGTCTACAAGAGCTAGTTCTAGGACAGCCTTCAAAGCCACAGAGAAACCCTGTCTTGAAAAAAAAAGAAGTTTTATTACTTATCTTGCTACTATCCATACTGTCTTCTGATACTCACCATGTGTTCATCACCACTGTTACTATTAATAATTAATAAATTCTCTTCATTTTCTTTTTATATGAGATTAAATTTGTAGTATCTAATATAGCAGCTGTTAGCCACAATGTGACCAGTCTGAATTAGGATGTGTTTTATGTGTAAAACAACCCCCAGATTTTTGAAATTTGAGATGACAAAGAAGCTAAAAAGTTTCCCACAGTTCTATGCTAAGTAGCAAAATGATAATGTTTGAGAGATACTGAATAAAATAACTTCACAAATGTCTTTTTTCATTGCATAGCTACCTAAATTTTTGATTAGCTATGTGTCTGAAAGACCATCCTGTCTTTTTCATTGGTGCAATATATCACCCAATTTATTTTTCAGTTATCAGATTTGGGCCAGACAGTTCTAGTCAACAGAAATACACAGCAAACAGTATTTTTCAGCTCCTCACCTGTGTGGTTCATCATTCAGCACTTTCCCTCGCAGGGCCTGACATAACACCTAGCCAACAGGAACTGATCAAGGAGTGTTTGATGACCCAGTACACTGGTCTGTTTGACCTGCTATATACATATTAGACACCAGAGTCCTCCTTTCTTTGTGACTGGGGAAATGGTTCTAACTTCATGCTAGGTGTAGTCTCAAGTCTTTCACTTTGTCATCTGCCACCACAGTTTCTTCTCTCTGAGGCTACTTCTTCAGTCTGGATTGATTTGTTTGTTGTTCCTCCACTTCTGAAGTTTGACTATCAGGGCACTTGATTGCTTTAAAAGACTATCATGATAACTGATATTTTTGCATAGTCTCTGTTTTCTAAATATCCTGCATTATATTCACAATTATAAATGCTATAATGTTATTTACCAATGAATCACTGAGTTCACCAAAATGTTATATGGGTAACATGATTAAAAGGCTATCAGTCAAAAGACAGAAATTTTAATTCCTAAAAGAGATCTTAGGACCACTATACAGCTAATTTATTACTCTTTATTTTCTTTCTCATGGGCATGTTTTTGCCTATGTTAGAAAGCATATAAACATTTTTTGAAGACAAGGTCTCATTATGTAGCCCAGGAACTCAGTATTTTGACCAGGCTGTCCTCTAACTCACACTAACTTGCCTCTCAAATTCTGGGATTAAAGGCATGTTCTACCAAGTCTGGAAATGAATGTCTTCATATTCATTCAGAAAATAATCCCAGCATTACTTTGCAAACTAAACCAAAGATATGAAAAGAAAGAGACTTTCCACTTCAGAGATTCCATTATTCTCTCAACTCCCAAACCTGAATATAAAATTAAGAATACAGGCCACATGTAGGCTGCTGCCCAGAGTAGTAACTGAATAGTGGACATTTACTGTCCTAACTTTCCCCTGCTGCTGAGGGAGGGAAGTAGCAATAGGCAAAGAGAGCACAATTTGAATTCTGAAAATGGCCTTTGTAGTGTGCAGAGCTCCTATACTTACCATGGGCCTTGGAAGTGAAAGATGGTCGTACTTCTCTCCTACAAATAACATACATCATTTAAGAACTTTTTCTACTAATACAGTTTTATTTTTCACATTTGCGTTTTAAAATAGCAAAAAAATATGTTATATTAGTTGTGATAATCCAGACTGTTGATTATATGTGATTCAGATATGACAGCATGACTTGACTTGCAACCATGAAGACTGTCGACACCTGCATCTCTAAGGCACCAACAACACCACAGCTCACACCCAAGTAAAGGGAGAAGGAAAAGCAGAATGTGTTATTGGGATTGACTTCCAATTCCTGGCAGCCTCAGAGTGATCCTTATAGCAGCGCTCCCAAAACCAGAATCCTCACATCAGGACGAGTATCTGTGCGTCTTCCTTTCCTCCACATACCAAATAACATCATCTCCAACTAACCACATACTATATGGTCACTCAGGGATGGGACAACTCTGGTGGACATGATAAGAAGATGAGATAAAGCAAACAGGTGTGGGGCTGTGAAATGACATACAACACGAAGTGGACAGCAGGAAAGGAGGGCAATCTGCAATGTCCATTTCAGCCCTGCCCTGTCTGCCATGTTTCTGGCTTGCAGATCAGTTTACAATGGATGATTTGTTCTTGGTTTTGTTTGATTCTTTGGAGACAGAGTTTCTCTGTGTAGCCCTGGCTGTCCGAGTCCTCACTTTGTAGACCAGGCTGGCCTCAAACTCATAGAGATCTGCCTACCTCTCCTCCCAAGTGCTGGATAAAAGGCATGTGCCATTCAGCTCAGCAATCATTTTTTTTTATGGTTAAGAATGGAAACAGTCACACCATGCATTTACCTACTCTGATTTACTCTCTAATTCCTTGTTTTAAATTGGAAACCTGAGGTGAAAGGACTGACTCAAGGTCACAAAATAGTAAAAACAAAACAAAAAGAAAAACCTAAAACATGTTGCAAGCATGAAGGTCAAAGAAAGGGCAGCTCAAAGGGCCAGGTAGTGTGTGTAGGACTCCATTCTTAACAGACGGTTATATTCAGTTATCTCTTCTAGGAAAACAGCCTACCCTCAGCTCCTAAGCAGGAAACTAGACAAGGATTCAGGTTCCTCATCCTCCATTATTTGTTCCTTGCACTGTAGTTTGTGCACTGCAGGCCTGAGAACTCCTCAGCCTTCCGAAATGGCTTTGGAAAGAGAGTTCAGAGCAGAATTGAGAGCATTTGTCACAGAGTTCATTTCTTCCCAGTAGAGTGCTTTATAGAGTCCGGGTATCATTTAACTGCCTGAGAAAACTTCACCCCTGGTGTCACTCAGACTCAGTAAGGATCTCACCCACCTCGGGACCCTGCAGTACACACTGACTTCTCTAAACTTCCACCTCCCCGTTAATAAACTCCAGAAATACTCTGTCTCGTGGGTCACTAAGACGATTAAACATGATAGATAAATGCACATCAGGCACTTACCAAAGGACCCAGCACAGTGAATTCCCAGCAGACAGCAGCAGCTGCTGTTTGTGTGGCTGCTTTAGCTGCACGCCCCCCCGATAACCATGTTTATCATTTTACGAACACAGAGGCTCATGTTTCTGGAGTCCTCTGCTTTAGGACCCTTTCACCATTCTAATTTCCACTGGAAATTTGGCCCAGCTTAACAGGGGAAAAGGCAATTTGTAGTAGTAAATGTTTTTACTCTTTTGGCTTTTTGAGGGGCCCACCACGCACCCAAAATAAATATATAAACATGGAGGCTTATTGTTACTTATGAATGCCCAGCCTTAGTGTATGTTGCTAGCCAGCTTTTCTTAACTTGTGTACCTTTTCCCTTTCTTCTGTATATCTGTCTTTCCTTCTTTCTCTGTGTCTGGCTGTCTGGCTGTCTGACTCTCTGGCTGGGTGGCTGGTCCCTAAAGCCCTTCCCTGGGTCTCTCCTTCTCCTTGTTCTCTCATCCCTCCTTTCCTCCTCCTCCTCCTCCTCCTCCTCCACCTCATTTCTTCTGTTTATTCTCTCTGCCTGCCAGCCCACCTATCCTTGCTCCTACCTTACTATTAGTCATTCAGCTCTTTATCAGACTACCAAGTGTTTTAGACAGGCACAGTAACACAGCTTCACAGAGCTAAAAAACAAATAGCATAAACAAAATTCACACACTTTAAAATAATATTCTACCACAGTTATTCTAAATTCTTCTTAGGTAAATAAAAGGGAAAAGACAGACCACGGTGTTGGTCAAGCACCATGGCCTAGAAACTGAGTAAACCAGACATACAAACAAAGGCAGCTCAGGCCCTCAGTTGAGGGATCAGCACAAAGAGAGAAATACAGATTCACTGTACATTCAGCTGATGGTGAGCTTGCTGGCCCAAGGACATGGAAGGAGAACAAGTGATAAAGAATGCCCTAATTTTCAAGTCACTCAACATTTATCCTATGTGCCCATTTTTAATATAAAACATTTAAATACTCTTCTCTAATAAAAACATTTAATTTGATATTATTCTAAATAACATGTGATTTTTAATAAGCCATGCTTTAACGCTAATGGAAACCACTCATAGGGAAAATCTGTACATACAGACACGTACATACTCATCAATCATAAGACACAGGATGATGGGCAGTGAACAAACCTACCGGTTGACATTAACATAAAGGGTGATAATGATGCCTTCCCATACAATGTGCAGTGCCACTTTACATGTTGTACAAATACCAGTGAACTTACCCAACACAGGCAATGTCCCAAGTTTATGTAGTCATCAAGGAAAGAGATTCCACCCAAGCAAAAGGAAGGCATTTCAAAAGTTAAATAATTACATTCATTTCATTATGAATTCAGGAAAATTAAATTAGAGAAGTTCTGTATTGTGCAGAGCTTTTGTACTAAAACTTAAAATATATATATATAAAAGAAATAAAAACCTGGCTTGATTTCAGAAGGAAAACTAGAATGCCAATTTAGATATGCACCAAACTGTGGTCTAATAAATTTTATTAATTAGATAATAAAAAGAACAAAACAATATTTTGTCATTATTTCTAGGGGAGACATTTTGTTATAAAAATAATTCAGCTGGGCTATATAACAAGATAATTTTGTATCTAAAACTTAACATTAAAAACAAAACACTGATACAGTTATATTAAAATAACACATAAATAAGAACTGAAATATTTCAACTAGTGGACAGTTTCTCACCTCGTCTTCCTTTAAACACATCACTGATCTCTCGTAGCAGCGTTGCCATGTCACTAATCTGAGATTCCCAAGCCTCACAAAACACGTCCAGGTTTTCCTTAGCGATTTTGCTAGATGGATGCAGCGTCAATGTCTCAGCAGCAGAAATGATCTAAAGGGACACCAGAAATACGGGTGCGATCTCTAAGATTTCAGCCCTCGGAATCAGGCTGGACTTGATCAAGTCTTTACTGACTATTGACACAGCTAATTCTGGTTATCAATCATGAATAGCATAATGTGTTATTCTGCATCCAGTAGAATCTTGTTCTAAAACAAACACTGTGGCAAACACTGTTTGTATTTTGTTTATTAATGTTATGTGCGTGCATGTATGTTGGTGTGTATGTGGGGCTCAGAGGGCAACATGCAGGGTCAGTTCTATCTTTCCACTGTGTGGGTCCTGGGAATGCCATCAGGCTTGTCAGCAGGTGCCTCTACCCATTGAGCCATCTAATTGGTCCTGATTTGTTTTGTTTTGTTTTTTAGAATCAATGTCCTTAGGAATTATGAAGCTGAAATGTATTCTTGTGGCTTGTTACATACTGATATCTGTTGTGGAATATTATTTTAAGATATGTTACTATCATTTATGCTGTGGAATATTTGTTTAATGATACAAAGATGTATTGCATTCTTTTATGTTGCATTTGCTTAACTCTGTGAAGCTGTGTTTCTTTGCCTGCCTAAAACACCTGATTGGTCTAATAAAGAGCTGAATGGCCAATAGCTAAGCAGGAGAGAGGGATAGTTGGGGCTGCCTCTAGGGAAAAGAGAAGGGAGAGAACATCAGGGGCCAGCTACACAGCCACACAGCCAATCACGGAGTAAGAAGGAAAGAAAGATATACAGAGTAAAGAAAGGTTAAAAAGCCTAAAGGCAAAACATAGTTAAGGAGAAACAAGATAATTTAAGTTAGAAAAGTTGGCTAGAAACAAGCCAAGTTAAGGCTGGGCATTCGTAAGTAAGAATAAGTCTCCATGTATTTATTTGAGAGCTGGGTGGCGGGCGCCCAAAGAGAAAAACAAAACAAAACAAACAAAAAACCACAACAGGTATCTTTCTTATTGCAAACAGCTTCATTTAAAATAAATATAATCTAGCATTTCAGTTAAATGAGCCAATTTCTGGTTTAGCAGAAACCATGATTCAGTGGAATGGCAGGCAGCATGTTCCAGTACGTTACTGACAAAAACCCCAATATACTTCTTCCTCTCCGAGATGTGGCTCCACAGATGCAGACCTCTCTGCTTGCCTCCTCACAGTCTGTTCCACAGTCAAATCACACACCAACAGAGAGCATGACCTGCCATTTCCATACCTGTGGGCCAGTCACCTGAAATGTCTCTTCTGCATGTATGCAGGTTATTTCAAGGGGTTCCGTGCCAGATACATGCCGCAACAGTCGACACGTCTGCAAGAAAGCACGCGCACAGGTCACCTTCCACACCCGAATGCTTCTCATAAGGGAAATGAAGCTTACAAACCTAAGAATGAGCACAGGACTGCAGATGGAAGCAGGAACAAACACGGGGATAGTGTACTGTTTCTGCTTCCTATGTGACTGAGGCAAGGTGGTCACAAGATCTTAGAAACACAGGGAACCTTTCGAAGGTCCAGCAGAGAGCATGCATTTGCTGCATCTGGATGGAGTCCCACTGTGAACCTGCCAATTATCAAAAGCTACCATTCTCTCAGGGCTGATCTCATCAGGATTAATTAGACACACACACACACCAACATGGATTGGGCAGACTGGTCATAAAAAAGCAGGAAGCCTCCTTTAGAGAAAATTAGTGAACATCATAAGGCTTAAAAAGGAAAATTTTAAATTTTGTTTTACTCTTTAAAAAGTTTGTTACAGGTTTCCTAAGTTTCTCTACAGCCATTTTATTTTGTTAATACTGTTGAGCAGGGTACATGATAACGTGAAGACTGTATTTGTCTACACTGGCAGACATCTCACACACACATGCATGATTACGGGTTTTTCTTTTTCTTTCTTTTTTTTGTAAGCTAGCAGATACATGGTAACATTTTCAATGGTGGAAGGAATCAGAGTATCAATTAAGATGAACTGGAATTACACAGCAAGTGGCAGGTGACAAACACTCAAGTGTTGAGGAAGAGCAGAAGAGGTTCAGGGAAGAGACAGTGTGTCTTCCTTCTCAAACCTGCTTCCTGCCTTGGGCAGCTAACTTGGGTTGTTCACATCTGTGCTTGACCAATGGAAAGGAAAGGAATGGACCTCCTTTCCATGTTTACTGGGTCACCTTGGGCCAACTATGTGCCTAGTCCAAAAATCTATTACCTGTCAGGAGGTTCTCAGGTGGACTTGAGGGTCTGCCTCCCTGTTAACCTGGGCTAGCTCGACCACCACTGGCTGCACTCACTGCCCTCTCATTTAAAACTGCCCATGACTCTCATCCTGACCCCAGCTCTCTTAGTAAGCACTCATTACAGCATCCTCACTTCATCTCTTTCTTGCTGAGAATTCACCAGACTCAAACAGAAACTGTTGCATCACTCCACTGTACTACCCTGGAGTCTAATCTGAGAAGATAAAGAAAAGGTTTTAAAATATATTTAAAATTGTATTGTTTTGTTTTAGAGGCCAAACTATTGTAAAAACAGGATAGGCATGTTACACTTTTCACAGTCCAAAGAGAAGAGAGGAGAATGCTCAGATAAGTTAGCCAAAAATCATACCGGTTAATATTCTCTCATAATTTTGCTATTGTATTGTGAACTACGACTTGTTTAATAAGCAAATCTGTTACTCACCTCAACAAGCTGTTCTTTTTGCTCAGAGAGTTTACAGGCATATTCAGCCAACGCTTCCAAATTTCCTTCTACTCCAGTAAGTTTTAATGCTTTTAAAACCACATGATCAGCATGGAATTTTAACAGGTCGGCTGCCAGCTGCATCGCTGTATGATGAAGCTGAAGATGAGGGTGAAAGGCAATCAGGGCAGGAAAATAAACACCAAGGTTTATGACCAAGCACCTGAGAAGAGCTTTAATAACTACAGAAGAGAAACCCAAAGCATCCCACCCAATATGTTCAAAGGGAAACATCCCCAGTGGTCACAGAAACAACCCTGGGAAGCATCTTAGTCATCACAACAGCAGGGTGACATCAGTTCACCCAAGTTACTGGTGCCAACAGCATTATTGTGTGGAGAAGATGCCCTGGCCACTCAGTGGAGAGGCCCAGGCCTGGTTCCAAACAACTAGACATGCGGACACAGGTCACAGAAAATTCCCCACCCTCAACTTCCTGACTTCTCTACTTGTGCCACAGCCTGGCAAAAATCAGTACCAGCAGCCACACCACAGGAGTGACAGAGGGAAGAGATCCTGTGGTCCATGACAGTTCTATCAGGGCTAGGGTGCTGTGGAACTGTGAGCAAGTCCTCCAGCCATATGAAAAATGAAAGGCTGACATTGGAGGGGATGTCCTGACCCTTTCACTTGAATATCTCACAAAGGGCCAGACAGCAGCTACTTAGGCTTTGCGGGCACAGAGGCCGAATGCAGCTGCCCAGCTGTGTGCTACAGAGAAAGAACAGTAGATACAATGCACACAAATGTGTGTCCACCAACAATGGGACAAAATCTGATAGCTGAGTGGCAGCATGAGCAAACCTGGCTGAAAAGTGACCATAGGACTTTCAAGTTAGTCACAGGTGAACACATTTCATTGCGGAACAAGGAAATCTCCTCAATTCAAGGACATTTTTAAAACTTCAATGAGGCATAATTTACACACAAACTGCTCCCAGTTTAAAGGTACAGTTTGATGAGCTTTACAGGCATGTAAGCCATAGAATTACCAGCACACTAAATATTTCAAGTATCTCCATGACTCTAAAAAGGCTGCCTTTATCCTTTTGCAGTAAATCTTATCTGATCCCTGTCATTAAGACTTAGTCCTTCCTTACCTAGAACTTTACTAAATGAAGCACAAACTTGTTCAGTCCTCTGTGCCTGGTTCTTTCACTTGGTGTATGGTGTGCTTTGTGATTCATCCTATTGGTGTGTTGCTAGATAGTATTTGGTAGAGCTATCATAAATTCACCTACCAATCACCCTTGTTGCTGCTCCCCAGCTGTTGTGAAAAAGCCTAGTATGCCTATTCATGTGTGAGCTTTAAGAATGATAGTGTGATGGGGAATGGTCTTCTGTAAATATGTTTATCTTATTGGTTGATGAATAAAACACTGTTGGCCAATAGGGCAGCAAGATAGGTGGCACTAGGATATGAGGAGGATTCTGGGAAGTGTAGGCAGAGAGGAGTCATCGTGTGATCCCAGGAAGTGACATCTGGGCAGAAACTGCCACTAGCTAACCACAGAGGTCTGGAGGGCTGTACAGACAGGTAGGAAGTGACATAGCTGGGCAGAATCAGAACATAAGCAGGGGCAAACAGGAATTTGCTCTTCTCTCTTCTCTGCATAGATGCTGAGTGAGTAGGACGCCAGAAGAGTAAGAGGGCCCTGGATCTTTCTCCGGTAAGATAAGACCCCATGGAGATACTTAGATTATTAGAAATGAGTTAATTTAGACAGAGCTAACCTATAAGACGCCATAGTCACTGGCCAACAGTTTCATAATTAATATAAGTCTTGCGTGTTTATTTGAGGACTCTGAGGCAGCTGCGGAACTGGGCGGGAATCTCGTAACGATAGTATTAATAAGTGGTGACTTCACACTAATGACCAGAGGGGAAAGTCAAGCACTGTGTGGGCACTAGAACACACTAATGCACGTGAGCTTAACGTGTCCTACAGCAGAAGACTGCGTGTCAAACTCCTTACCTCTTTTCTCAGCTGGTTGAGACTGTGGCTGACCCTCAGAACGGTGAGTTCCAGCTCCTCGGCAGCACTCTTTGTCTTCCTGCTTTGCTGAAATTGTGAGAAGTATTCATGTCACGTTACCTTCTTAACCTGGTACTCAATTCCGTTTTCAATATAAATTATAGTACATTATAATACCAGTCAACTATAATAAAAGTATTCTCATTTGTTTTTGTGGTGCTGCGAACCAAACTTTTGAGGCCAAGTGCTCTACCCCTGAGGTATACTACCCAACCTGGTAGAAGTACTTCCTTAATTTACCTGTTTAAGCTTACAGTAGAAAATAGAATTTGGGTTATTTCATTATATTTTCCACACTAATTGTAAACAGGTGAATTTTCAGAACCAAATTTTCATAATAAACTTGTGTCTAAAACTAATCTCTTTTACTTTCCCCCTGGAATATCTAGCCTTTGTTTTTAGTATAGCTGAATACCAAAAATCTATTTCTCCCTAAGGGCTCACAAGCCCTTCTTTCTCAGGGACCTCCCAGGTCACCCACTCTAAGCCGGGCCTCTTCTTCACCTACTCTAACTTTACTCAAGTAATCATCAAAGCTTAGAATCACATATTTATGTTTTTAAATATTTGTTTAGTATTTTTAAAATGTTGGTTTGTCTCTTTCCTTCTAGGACAAAAGGTGGGTTCTCATCAGTTCCATAGTACACGCTGATACAGCACGTACAGGTCACAGGTATTCAAATTTCTCAAACAGCAGAGCCAAGCAATCCCAGTGCCTTCTGGGAGCCTTCTAGAGTCCTTTTTAAGTCTAACTTCACTCTGTCTTAAGATGGTTTCTTTGTGTCCTTGTCTACCTCTTCCCACATTTTTCTATATTGTAAAGTCATGGTGGGCAAAGACAATCTTATTTCTCTTCTGGCACCTGGCAGATAAAAGGTATTCAGTCACAATGTTGAGCTTAGGATACATCACGAAAGCAATCTCCTCTTCATACTACACAGTACACGAGTGATGTAAATACAAAACACTACTCGTGATTCTTACACTACTCTGTTAGGGCAAGACTCCCAGATAACAGGCCATGTGCACTGTTAGAATGCCAAAGAAATATCCCCAAATCTGTGATCTCTCTCTACTCTTTATGCACAAATAATACAGCAACCAGGGAGTAAACTGCCACTGCTTCCTTCTAAATCTCACAGCCTCTCCCTCTTTGCTTTGCCAAGCTTTAATTCCTTATTTCCAGATTTGTTCTACCCGCTACTTTCATTTGCTATGAGTTACATTCAATACTTCATGACCTAGCCTAGGTTTAAGAAATAAATAAAAGGGCCAGAATATGCCTTGGCCTCTGTCTCCTCCACCCCTGCTCCTGCAATCCACTACTATGAGACTTGGGACAAACTTTCTGTGTTGTCACATTTGTGTAGGTTTTACCCATCTTACTTGAACAGCCTCCCATGCTGAAAGCATGCCACTCAGGCATCTTCAGTGGCTGCCGGAGGACTTAGTCCAGGAGTCTGTGCAAGAGTAATGGACCACTAGGTCCACCCTGACCTTCATGGCATCTAGACCTCAATGAGCATTCTAAACTATTGTCTGTAAATCATCTATCCTCAGAGTTAAGCACACTGCACACCTGAATGGCACTAACAGCAGGTTCATGTTTTAAGGCCCTCTAATACATTTATTCCTCTACTTTCTACACTAAGGAAGCATTTGGAGGAGGGATTTTCCAAAAATGAATTTGGCAGAAGAGTGGGGAGACCAGGGAAACTATAGGTGGCAATGATGGCACAGAATCCAGCCTGGCCAAGAGGAGAATCAGAGACCTGAACATGGCAGGTGCTGTGAGTCACACATAAAGCATAGTTTTACCCACTGGGATGGAGAAAAGGGATAAGACTTCCACACCTCTCTAAACATTAAGTGAAAAGCTATTGCCTAAGATTTACTCTAATGAACACAGTTCTTACAGCTTGCATCCAAACGGAAATGAACTGTTGCAGTTCTGTTCTCGCCTGAGTAGATAGCTCCAAGATGCGTTCCCTGTGCTCATGGCTTGTGTAGGCAGAATCAGTGAAGTCCTCCACACGCTCCAAGATGACCTCCAATGCAGCAGCAAGGTTCTCCTTGGACTCAAAGTAGAGATTCTCCCAAAGGGCTTCAATGTTCAACTGAGAACAAAAAGGAACAGAAAATCCATCTAAGTATCCCCCAAATGGGTTACAAGTTCTAACAGTGTCCTGGAGATGCACTACCAAGTCCTTTTCCAGGATCAGGAGTATTGCAGCCTCCATCCAATGGTCACTGTATTCTCCAGTCACCGGAAGGACACTTTGTTCAAGAGTCATCAATGGCCATGCAAGGCCTTTGTTCAACCACCATTAATACAATGACATTGCCACAAGATCAGAGAATACTAAGGCAGAAAGTGCACCAGTGTATAGAATTCGTAGAAATAACAAACCAGCCTCCAGATGAAGTATCTGCAGCTGAAAAAAAAAAAAATGCCTAGGCAAAGTCCCAAGTGGTTTGCACTCAGGTGAGGTGTGCTGAACCACAGGAGGTAGACCACAGGGAGGTGTTTCATGCACTAGAGACTAAGGTTGCAGTGCAGAGGGTTAGGGTAGGGCATCAGGTTTGCCTTCACTCACCCAGAACCTCTCCAATTGCCTAACATTTTGCATTTTTCATGTTGTTTTATGTCCCTAACAGTACACTGGCACAAACATCCTCTACCAGGAGGACTGTATCACCTTTTTGAACTGTAAACCTGGTATTATCACATGACCTCTAATTAGCTCCTCCCCAGCTACAGAATCAAGAGCTACCATCTGGTGTAAAGGTCTCCATAGTCTCGCCCTCACTCACTACCCTAGCAGCCTATCCATCTTGCTTCACCAACCCTGCGTGTAGAGTTCTTCCAATGTGGAATGGACTCATGGGAAATCTTCCTCTCTTAACTTATGCCATTGCAACCTTAGCCTCTAGCCCATGAAATCTGTTAAAGTCACAACTTGGACTAGGAGACAAAAAGCAGTAATGATCACAACTATGGTCACAATTGATGAATGCACAGACAGGGACAATGTTGTAGACCTCTAAGTTCCTGCCACAGTTATTTCAAAATAATCCTTACACATGTCCCATCTTAACACAACCTGTGACATACCAGCTATGGAAAGTCAAGAGTCCATGGGGAAGTGAGTGTTGCTCTTTCTCTTGACCTGAGTTGTGTCCAAATCATCATCCTGGGTAATTTTCTTTTTAGTTAAGAAATAACATGAATAGAGACTGTTGAATAGCTCAGCAGGTAAGTGATGCCACCAAGACCTATGACCTCCGTCTAATCTCCAGGACATGCAAGTTGGAAGGGGAGAACTGATGCCTACAAGTTGTCATGTGGCCTACACACCCACATACACACCCACACACACACACACATGCACGCACTACAGAATAAACAAATGCATTAAAAATAACATGGGGCCAGGTGGTTGGTGGCCCACGCCTTTAATCCCAGCACTCGGGAGGCAGAGGCAGGTGGATCTCTGTGAGTTCGAGACCAGCCTGGTCTACAAGAGCTAGTTCCAGGACAGCCTCCAAAGCCACAGAGAAACCCTGTCTCGAAAAACCAAATAATAATAATAATGATAATAATAATAATAATAATAATAATAATAATAATAACATGGATAATATGTAAGGAATGGACAATGATGACCTGAGAATTTAAATAACTGAAACCTAAAACTTAATCATGTATAACTCACATCATTTATATTATTGATTTTTATTTTCAATTTAGGCTGTGTGTGTGTGTGTGTGTGTGTGTGTGTGTGTGTGTGTGTGTGTGTGTGTGTGTGTGTGCATGCTATTTGAGTCATATTGGTCTTTTGAAGGCTATTAAGTTTTATTTACATAAGATATAGCCACTTATTTAAAATACCAGACAAAAGAAAGTATGAAATTCCTCTCTACAGATTATTTTCTCCCTCAAAAAGAAACCAGTGTCAAGTCAGGCATAGTGCTGCATGCTTGTAATCCCAGCACTTATAAGGCTGAGGCAGGAGGACTGCACTGTGACATCAGTCTGAGCTACATGGCTAGGTCCCATTTTTGGGAGCACCTCCTTATGCAATGGAGAACAGTTCTCTCCACTGCTTTTTCACTCCCTGTTCTGACCTCGATCTTCACAGAAGGTCAAGGTGCAGTGAGACAGAACGAATACCATGCCCATCTCAGCTCAGCTTATTATGGGTGTGTAGCCCTCGGCATATTAGGTAACTTTCCAGGGCCTTGGTTTTCTTATCTGGTAAATGATCCTGCATTAGACAGGGCTATAGGACTCTCTTGAGGAGAAATCAGACTGCCTGGAGTCAAATCTCTGCTCTGGTACTGAGGTAGCAAGTCTATCTCATCTGTCTCTCCATCTCTCGAACAGCACTCAGAAGAGAATAGCAACAGTACTTGTAAGGATCCCAGGAGTCCACACACTTAAAGCACTCGGGGAGGGGACTGAGCTGGCACAGTGAGGACTCCAAATGTTAGCAGGATTTCTCTTAGGTCTGTAATTGTTGCTGTTGCTGTTGTTACCGTCTCAATGTGTAGACCCTATCACACATGGAAGAACAGGGATCCCAGCAGAAACTGTATGCTGCTTGTGATCATCTGTAGATAGCTCTACATGAAAGAGTTCATCTAAACCTATAGCTCAACAGGGAAGGCTGCTGCTATAAACAAGGACCTGTGTTGTCTGTCAACATAACCCTGCGCCCATATTGCTCACCGTTAGGTTAGAATGGCATTTCATTAAAGAAACATATCTGATTTTTTTTTAATGTGTATGAGTGATTGGCATCTGTGCACATATGTATACCATGTGCATGCCTGGTGCTCAGGGAGGCCAGATTAGGGCATCAGATCCCCTAGAACTGGAGTTACAAGCAGCTGTGAGCTGCCATGTAAGTGTAGCAAATGAACTGTCAACCTTTTGAATCTGCTCTCTAGCTCCTGAGATACACTGCTTTCTGTGAAGAACCATTCTGGTTTTTTATGTGTATGGTGTTTGTGTGTGGGGAGGGATGCACATGGGTATGGGTACCCAGGAAGGCTAAAACTGTGGGCCAGATTCCGTGGAGCTAGTCACATGGAGTTATGAGCCATCCATCATGGGTACTGGGAACTAATTTTGGTGCTCTTTGAAAGCAGCAAGCACTCTCAACCAGTGAGTCATCTCTCTAAACCATTACACAAAATATGAACATTACATATAATGATGCTCTCTTAAATGAAAAAGGGAAAGAGCAAAGCATACTCTTTACTCTTACCTTCAATTCTTTAATCCCAGTAAACACGCTGACAGATGACCTGTCAGTTTCTCCATTTGGTTTGCTCTCAGTGACTATCTCAATGACCTTATCCAGGGCCACTCTCATCCGGTCAAACACTCCTTCTTTGTTTTTGTGGGCTGAGTCACAGCTGGGATGCCTGAGACATGTCTTCAGAAGAGTTGAGGTTTTTATTTTAATAATAACTCACATCATAACATATTAAAATCTTACAGAGAACATGCCATGCTAATAAAAATGGTTCTTTACCCAAATCTCCTGGCTCCCCGGCTCCCCCAGCTGCCTCTCCTCACTAGTGTGGAAGCAGGATGAGTAAAAAGCGACAGCAAGGTTAAGTGAATGACCAGAGAGAAAAGCTGCATCTTCAAACATCAACAGTAAATTCATCTTGATTTCAGTGATGGAAAAACCCGGTATCTTTATCACAATTAAAACTGTTTTATACAGTGCTGCCTCACACATGCAAGAACAAGAAAGGAAAAGGGAAAACTGGGCAAGATGATAGATGACTATGGCTGCATCTTTCACTTTTTTGTTTGTTTTTTGAGACAGGGTTTCTCTGTGGCTTTGGAGGCTCTCCTGGAACTAGCTCTTGTAGACCAAGCTGGTCTTGAACTCGCGGAGATCCACCTGCCTCTGCCTCCAAGTGCTGGTATTAAAGGTGTGCACCACCACGGCCCGGCAAATCTTTCATTTTTGAAACCTGATGTAAATAAAAATCTATTCCAGATCTAGATATGAACAGAGCATCTGTCTCTGCTTTTGTGGTTTTGCTAATCCAAGTGCATCAGTAAATGCTGATTTTGCAGAACAGGCAGTTCTCGACCAACTCCTATAGAGACGTTTACCAGCTCATCCCTGCACTATACCCATCATTGCTTGGGAACACACGTTCCTGGCTTGTCATTTTATAAAAGAAGAAATAGAAAGGAGAGGCCATGAATTAAAGGAAGAAACCAACAGAGGCTTCATTCCCCATACTCCACTAGCTCTGTTAACCAATCCTGACTTGCCTAGATAATGTAACCTGGCAAACCCTGCTGTGAGTGCCAGTGCCTGGCAGGCTCTATCATAGTACTTGATCCCTTCTCTTCTGCTTAGCTGCTGAATCAAAGTGGGCTCAGATTCAGGAGCTGGGGAAGAAAGGTTAGCATTCAGGATAATAGTAACAGATTTGACTTGGTTCTAAGTTATTGCTTTCATCCCTTCAAAAATGCCCAGTAGGGAGGGCCGGGGTGACGCTCAGTGGTGGAGTACATGCTTAGCAGGCACAAGGTACTGAGTTCAGTCCTCTGCATAAGGAAAGAGCACATGGAATAAAAATGTAAACCTCCCGCAATGATGCATTTGCTCAGGTTTTTCTCATCACTGACTAACACAGAGGCACTTACCTTTGAAGCCGTGAGGAGCATCATGGTGCCCTTTTCAAGCACGGCCCTCGCCACGGCCATGCTGGCCTTTTTCTTTTCATCTTTCAAATCCTAAAGAAGAAATCAAATCACTGGGCAGTCTAAGACCACAGCAGCAACCTGATCTTTTGAAAAGCCATCTACTCAATAACAATAATGTCCAAAAGGCCAGTCACATTACTCAGTACAGAAAAAAGAGGCAACGACAATGTTTTCTAAACCTTGACTGCTTTGGTGAAAACAGTCACACCCTTCACCCATGGTTTTCCTTTCTGAGGTCACTCACCTGCAGTCCTCGTGTCTGTGTTACTGTCCGCCTCCTCCCACACCCTCTAAAACAGAAGTTCCATGGGGCAGGCTTCCTAACTGTTATGTTCCCCAATACCTAGAATACTCCAATTCCCAGTAAGTAATGAGAATCTGCTGAGTACAAAAAAAGAGGCTAGCTGATGGCTATTTCCAGCATATTCTGACCAAATTAAGACAGAAAGGGCAAGGGCTGAACTCTGGAAACAAATACTAAGAAAGTGAGCCAGACATAGGACTTACCAAAACCCCAGAAGGAAAAATGCCTGCTACCCTGTATCTGATGAGTTAAATTTAACAGATACTCCTGCCAGGTGAGGTAGTGCATGCCTTAAACCCTAGCACTGGGGAAGCAGAGCAGGATGATCTCTATGAATTTGATGATAGCCTTGTCTACACAGTGAGTTCCAGGCCAGTCAGCGTTATTCTTCAGCTGAAGTGCACAAGTTTTAAATGAGTTGATCACAGTCTTACTGAACCCGGGATAAATAGTCTACAGACCAATTTTATTTTCTTTTTTGATTTGATTTTTTGAGGCAGAGTCTTGCCATGTAGCACAGGCTACCCTGCAAGTCACTAGTCACTACAGCCTAGGTTGGCCTCAAACAAATGGTGATCCTCCTGCCTTAGAATCCCAAGTGCTGGGATTACAGAAGTAAGGCACCATCCTGGCTCCAGGCCAAATTTCTAACTACAGATCAATATAACAGTGGAAGTTTCCCAGTTGTGTGGCCAGCAGGAAACACAGCCAAAAGAGCTACACAGGCTTTGGAATCTGAGTCACACTACACTTGCCCAGTGATCCAGAAAATGTTAGACGATTAAGTGTCATAAAAATACTTAGGCTAATCCTCTCTATAGGGAAAGAGTGTGGGGAGGGGAGAAGGGAAGGATGATGAGAAAAAAAGAAATGGAACAAAATATTAAAGAACAATGGTCATAAAACAGAAAATGAGACAAGGTGTTGCACAGATGGCTTTTCAAAATTTGTATTACATTTATTTGTTGATGGTGTATGCAAGCACACATATGTGAGCATGTTTGTGTGCCTGTCTGTGTATCTGTGTATGGTCACAGGTGAGCATGGGATTGAGAATGTCATAACACTCATGTGGAGGTCAGAGGACAGCTTGCAGGGGTCAGTTATTTCCTTCCACCATGTGGATCTGGGGACTGAACTCAAGCAAGTGCCCTTACCCACCCAGCCATCTTGACAGCCACCTATACATTCAGTGTTTTCAGCAACAAATACTGCTCTCCAGCCTGTCATTTTCCAGGCCAATGTCCATTTCCCAACTGTAGCTACGACAAGGAAAGCTCTTGTCTAAAACTGAAGGGGTAGCCTGAGGGAGGATGCACAGATCTCAGTACTGCTGGTCAGGCCTGCTGACAAGATGGATTCATAAGCAAACATATCAACCAGAAAGAACCTATTTTGACACACTGTGGTCTTCTACCTCCCCACCACACTTAGAAACATTGGTCTGAATTGGGGAGCAGGTCCCAAAGAAAAGACACCCAGAGATGCAGTTAAAGAATAACAGGCTTTAGGAATAGATGTAACTAATTCCATCCATCAGCAGACTGACCTTAGGAAAATCCCTTCATCTCAGGTTTGGTTCCCTTATGTATAAAACACAATAATAATACCCAGTTTGTAGGGATGCTATCAATATTAAGTATAATCACATATATTAAATACTTAACATAATATAGCCAGCACAAGGGCTGGAGAGATGGCTCAGAGGCTAAGAGCACTGGCTGCTCTTCATAGGTCCTGAGTCAATTCCTAGCAACCACATGGTGGCTGACAACCATCTGTTATGAGATCTGGTGTCTTCTTCTGGTGTGCAGATATACATGGAAGCAGAATGTTGTATACATAATAAATAAAATCTTTATTAAAAAAAAAGAAATATAGCCAGTGCAAATAGAACAATGGCATGTGTTCTTAATAGCAATCTAGTATAGTAAGTAAACAAATATACAATCTAGTATAGTAAGTAAACAAATATATTCTAAAATTATACATTCCAGTTCAATTTATTTGGAACACTTCATGAAAGGGAAAGTTGGGCCTTCCACACTGTCAGAGTATCCCCAGTGCAGGCAATATTAATTGCCATATATGTAAAAATAAGACACATCAATCTACTACATACCCTGGATTACTTACAAAGAAAGGGTTTTAAGACCAAGACCATAGATTTAGTGAGTAAAGAAGTCAATTCAAATGGATTAAGAAGATTGAATTTCCATCCAAAGTAAAAAGTGTGCATTTATCTGAAGACTTTTCAATGTGGTAAGTACATACATTTTGTCTGTCTCCCGTTAGATGTGCAAACTCCACCATTTCATTTCCAAACTGGCTGAATATCTGAACAAACTCCTGAAAGCTGTTTACTTTCTCTAGTCTCTCCATGGTTGCAAGAACCTTCAAAACAGAAAATATTTTATTGTTGGGCAATAAACAAGACACAGACTGAGACTTCCAGAGCTGAATGGAGTGAAGGGAAACAAGAGAGGCTCTAAACTCCATGGGAAAGCTGAGAAAAAAGAAGCACACACACAGACATGTACACACACACACACACACAAGAGAAGGGCCTTTAAGACATAAAAGCTGGTTCAACAGTTAGAACCACCAAGGGAATTGACTTGGTTTTAGGATAAGGAGATATGGGTTTATTTATAACTTTTTTTTAAGTTTATTTATTTGCATGAATGCTCTGCATGTATCCCTGCAGGCCAGAAGAGGGCACCAGATCCCATGGTGAGCCACCATGTGGTTGCTGGGAATTGAACTCAGGACCTCTGGAAGAGCATCCAGTGCTCTTAAACCTCTGAGCCATCTCTCCAGCCCTATTTATAACTTCAAAGGAAGAGAAAAAAAATTAATGACTAAATAGGGCTTAGAGAGTTAAAAGCAACTGCAAGAAAAAGACTGGTGAAAAGCAAAGGGTAGACCTACCACAGAACCAGCTAACCCTCTGGGTTTAGGAACTGCACTGGGACAAGAAATTCTGAAAAGGAAAAGCACACTCTGCTGGGTGAGCTTGCCTTTCCAGTGGGTCCATCTTCTAGGCCGGTCTGTGAGGGCTGTGTTAATCAGCTCTGAAGGCAATGCCTCCAGTGACTTACAGGTCTTTGACTAGAACCTGTCTTACGAAGATTCCACCAACTCTCACATGAATAAATACACTGGGGCCTGGGCCCCCAGCACAGGGACCTGGAGATGCCCTCAAAGCATGTCTGAGCATAGCAATAACAGCTGTTCTGCCCATTCTTTGCTTCTCCACACTTGACTTCATGAATGAGATCTTCCTTTGAGTATTTAGGGGTTTTGTTTGTTTTGTTTTGTTTTGTTTTTGACACACAGTCCGTAGCCTAGGCTGATCTCTAATTCTCTATGGAACTTTTTTCATTTGAAGAATTTATTGGTATATGTGTGTATATTTTCACATGTGTGAATGAATGTGTGTGCAGATGCACACATGTACACGTATGTGAAGGACAGAACTTGATGTTGGGTGTGTTCATTAATCCCTCTCCTCTCTATTTACTGAAGCAGGATCCTAACCCTGGAGCTCACCTATCTGGCTAGTCGGGGGCTGAAGACATGAGGCAAGCCAAACAAATTTTTCTTCACAAAGTATGTAGCCTTGGGCATTTTGTTATAGAAACAGAAAGCTGACAATGGTAGCAATAAGAAATAAGAAGGCAGTGAGGAAAAAAACAAACAAACAAAAAAACCCAGAAACTATACAGATTATTGAACCAGGATTAGAAGAACTCCAGTTTTAGAAGAAAATAGTAGGGAGGTAATCCAGAGAGAGGAGTAAGATGGGGGTTTAGGAATTCACATTTGAAAACCAGTTTAGACCGGTCGGGAGCTGCTGTGTGAACAGATCAACTGCCAAGAGGCTTTGGGCAGTGAGGAGGGAGCAGAGCATGGACCTGTGCACAGGACAGCTGGCAGAAAATGCTGTTTCCCTGGCATAAGAAATACGGTGAACAAATGTGAAACATATTTTCTCATAGTTTTTTTTTTTCTAAAATAACTACTGAATTTTGGCCAGAGCAAGATAAGTCAGAAAAAACACAGATATCCTGTGCTTGTTCATTTTTAATGAGGATATGGAGACATTTGGCCTGCTAACCTGCCCAGGCAGCTCAGGAAACACAAGCAGTTCCACAGATAAGAAAGATAGGACACAGAGCACAGCCTCCATCTCAAAAAGGCAGGAAAATCTTCCTTTTGTTTGTCACTCTCTTTGATTTCTTTTTCTCTTTAAACTTTCACTTTTTGATTTGCTGGACATTCCTGGGAGATGGGGGTGGGTGTCAACAGGGCCACCCTCAGATGCCACTGAAAGGATGTACTCCTCTGGCTGACTTGACTGCCCTCCACCTCACCGAGGGGAGTATCAGCAGAAGGCAATGGTGCTTGGTTCCCAGTGATCAGGAGCAGGGCCACTGTCTTCCAGAGCTCAAGAGTTTAAGTCCATTCTTTAGAAATATTTAAGGGTGCTACATATGGAAATTTTGTGGCTGTGGACAGGGTCTCATGTAGCCCTAGCTAGTCTCAAATTTCTATGTAGCTGAGGCTGGCCTTGACCTCCTGATCATCCTGCCTCCATTTCCGAAGTGTTGTGATTGCAGGTGCTTGGGATTAGAACAGGGCTTAGTGCATACTAGCCAAGCACTCTACCTACTGGACTACAGCCAGAGCCCAGTGATTTACATTTGTCTTTAGCTTATAAATGGTTACTCTCTGACTTGGGTAAAAGTACTGAAGGATTCAGGGTATTTGTTAACTAGGTCTCTCCTGCATTCATCACCAACTTAGCTTTTCTTCCCAAATTGTACACATTTAAGGCTCTTGGCGTAAGCCTCACCAAGATTTTTGTTGTGTTGTTATTATTAAATGAGAAACATTTTTTGCATTTAAAACTTCAGGCCTGGGGCTCGGTTAAGAGCACTGACTGTTTTTTCAGAGAATTCAGGTTCAGTTCCCAGCACCCATATGGCAACTCATATCCATCTGTAACTCCAGTTTCAGGAGATCTGAAGCCCTCTTCTGGCCTCTGTAAACATCAGGCATGAACAGGATCCACAGACTTAGACACAAGCAAACAATCATATACATAAAACACTAATATTGCTTTTAAAAATAGAAATAAATGACAGTTTAGACTCAGTAAATTGGAGATGGTAGGTATAGGAAAGGCACTATTTTAAACTCTGGGAAATGGGTCTATAAATAATTAACTAATAAGCAGAGCCAAACTATCTGGATTTCACCTCAACAAGGATTCTGAGTCACCCTAAAACACAAGCACAGCCACAAGTGAGTACCTTGTTTCTTGATGTCACTATCTGCTTGATGACTACTCGGTCTGCCAGCAGCAACACTTTTGTCACTGAGGAGAGCAGCAGCCTGGCGGCCTGCACAACTCCTGTTTTGTCTGTCAAAATTGTGATCTGACCACTCGATTCCACATGGTTCAATTTGGTCACATCTGTGAGTGCTGCAATTGTTTCTCCTAACAAGAAAGAGGGATATCACGTTGGAAATTAAACACTAAAACAAAAAGACAGACTTTTCTCTCATCTTGACTACAGTATACATGGGAACTTGGGGCACAAGAAATGCTTAGATGGCTCCTATGATGCTTTCTAGCAAATCAAACAAGCAAAAACAACAACAGTACACTCTTCAGAACCATGACAAACTTTGACAAACATGACAAACATGTCAAACCATGACAAACAGAAAAATACAATTTGTCTTTCTAGTAGTTTGACCAACCACACAATCTAAAAGCTGCCTCTGTACAGGACAAAAGAAAAGTCCCAGGAGTCAAGAACCAAACACCTAAATCCAGAGCACTGAGCCTAGGTGAGGCCCCCACAGGGAGTGAGGAAGGAGGGGACACTGTCAATCACCACCATCTAAAGAAGCTTGGGTTTGGAGGGACATCGAAGGATAGTAGAAAGACAAGGCTTTAGGCTCGGGTTAACATCTTAAAAGGGAGAGGTGGGGCTGGAATAATGAACTATAGATACATAAGAAGTGTATTTGTTGTTCTGCCTGGAGACAGGGTAGAGAAAGTAGACCAAGTAAGACCCTTACCCTTGAGAGTTCAAACCCTGGCTGAACTTTAGATTTGTAATTGCCAACAGATAAATGTTTTTGTTTAGTTCCGTTTTGTTTTGTTTTAAGACAGGGTCCTCACCACTACATAGCCAAGTGTCATGGCTGGCCTGAAACTTGCTGTGTAGACCAGACTGGCCTCAAACTCACAGCCTCCATGTGCTAGGATTAAAAGTGTACATTATCATGCCCAGTAATTTTTTTTAAGATTCTTATATTTATTTTTTATGTGTAAGGATATTTTGCCTACACACACACACACACACACACACACACACACACACACACACACACACACACCTGTATACTACATCAGATCCACTGGAACTACAGTTACTGATGGTTGTGAACCATCATGTGGATGCCAGGAATCGAACCCCAACTCTCTGGAAGAACAGCCCGTGCTCTTAACCACTGAGCCATCTCTTCAGACTCAGACACTTACACTTCTTTTGGTGCCCAGGGAAAAAAGACCATTCTAGGATACAAATTTCCAACCCTCTAGAAAAATTCTTTCCTCCAATTGCCATCAAGCTTGTTGATTTCTATAATAATAATTATTAAAACTATACAAATATTTGCTCTCCTAAATGATGAAACCAAGTTGTGTGTGATGGTTGGAATAAGAGTGCTCCATGGTCTACGGCATTTGAACACTAGGTCCCCAGTTGTTGATGGCACTGTTTGGGAGGTTTAGAAAGTGTGGCCTTGTTGGAGGAATTGTGTCACTGTAGGTGGTCTTTGAGAGTTAAACGCCATTACTAGTTCATTCTCTCTTATTCCTGCTTGCAAGGCCTCAGTTTCCTGCTCCTAACACCCTGGCTTCACTCAAGAACCATGGACTAGATCTAACTCTCTACTCTTTATTCTATCAGTTGCCTTCTTGTGTCTTAGTTAGGTTTCTTCTGTAAAGAGACACCATGACTATGGCAACTCTTTTTTTTTTTCCGAGACAGGGTTTCTCTGTGTAGCTTTGACACCTATCCTGGCCCTCGCTCTGGAGACCAGGCTGACCTCAAACTCACAGAGATCCACCTGCCTCTGCCTCCCGAGTGCTGGGATTAAAGGCGTGTGCCACCAATGCCCGGCTTATGGCAACTCTTATATAGAAAACATTAAACTGAGGTGGCTGCCTACAGCTTCAGAGGTTCAATCCATTACCATTATGATGAATAGCATAGCAATGTGCAGGCAGACATGGTGCCAGAGCTGAGAGTGCTACATCTTACAGACAACTGGAAGTCAACTGAGTATCTGGGCGGTATCCTGAGTATAGGAAATCTCAAAGGCCTTACCCACTCCAAAAAAGCCACACCTCCTTAAAGTGCCACTCTCTATGAGATTATGGGGCCCAATTACATTCAACTACCACACCTTGATCATGGTGTTTTATCACAGAAGTAGAAAACTAATTAATACAATGTGATTCTCTAAAACTCCTTACTGTTACAGTTAACAAGATTTTAAAAATAAGTTCATTTAAGATAAATTTTGGGGTCCTAAAAATATATATGTCTGATGACTGAGTTTCTCACAGAAGGTTTATTGTTAGTTTTATTAAATACATTCAATAAAGTCTTGGCTGGTAACATAAAAAAAATCTTACAAAAAATATTAGAATCTTTATGGCCAAACCACAGGATACAAAACAGTTAATATTTAGAATGGCCAGTTGCTGGGAAAACAGAACAGACTGGAAAAGCTGACGTAAAGCAGGGTGGCTGTTAATGCAGGGGAGAGGACTTCACAGATGGCAGCCAGAGGACATAAGAAGAAAATGATTTAGGAGACAGTGAGGAAAGAAAATATAAACCTGGCAGCTGACTAGTGATAAGAAGGAAAGAAAGAAAAACAATTTCAAAATTATAAACGAAATCACTTAAAGACAGAAAGACTCAGGAAGGAAAAATGGCAAATTTAGTTTCAGACAGCAGGAGAAATTTAAAACGATACAGATATACACAAAACACAGGTCACCAAATATGCATAACTAACTGATGCTTTACCACTCAATCAAAGTTTATTGTAGTCAGCCTCCAAAGAGCTCTACTTGTTGTTACCCATGTCCATCAAGTGTCCTCTCCCAAACTGTCCTCAGAATGGTGGCAGAAGAGGAGGTATGCCACTTCTGAAATTAAGCAATCAAATCCTCTCAGGTCAAGCCTGTGAGATGGCTGGGGGCAATAGCACTTAAATCTCTAAAAGCGTGATAAAGAAAACTGACTCGCAAGAGTTGTCCTCTAACTTCTACACATGTACTGTGGCATAGTCACACACAGATACACAGACACACAGACACAGACACACACACAGACACACACACACACACACACACACAAAATGAATTTTTAAAAACTGAGACCATCATCTTGTTTTCTCTCTCCCTGAGGGAAACCAAGTACCAGGTTATAGGCAGCCTTACTACAAAGAAAGCAACATGATGACCAACAGTCAACCAGAAAGTGAAGTCTGCCAGCGCCATTGAGAGCCTGCAGAACACATCTCCAGCACGGTGAGGCCTGCAGATAACGAAGGCCTGACAGATATCTCCAGCCAATGTCATAAGATGTGGTGACCCAGGATGGCCCAAGGAATCCATTTCCTGTCTCTGGTCTGAGACTCAGCTGCATGGAGGGTAACTTGCTTCACAGCAATGGAAATTGTTGTGTCACCAAATTTTTATGGCAAAATCTGCAGAGGACAAATGTTCTCAGAACTAACCTTTATTGTGGTGGAAGGAGCAGAGGAAATGGGCAAGTTCATGTTCTAGCAACAATAGCTGAAAGAAAAGATGTTTTCTTTGTTCCTCTGGAAAATGTCCATTTTCTTATCACTCTCAGCCACCCCAGGCACTGCATAAGAGCCTGTGCAGATGACACTGTTTAACCATTCCTTTTTCTGACTGAACCCTGGGCATTCACCAAATCAGTAAGTGGCAGTAATCCTGGTCCACTGCAGAAAAGGGTCAAGTGTCTCCTTCCCATCGAAGCTCTTCCAAGTTTAGATTGCAAAGAACCCCCAGCAAAGGCAAAAAATGTACAGTTTCATGGTTGTTGTTTCTAATTTATTATAAGCAATGAGCTAGTATAGTCCCTTAGAGTGAAAATTCTAAGACATTCTAAGAAAAATATTTACTAAACTACCGTATAAAATATAGATCTTGACATGTAGCCAAGTAAAAAGTAAAAACAATGCAGGAGGAACTCAACTGAGAGAAAAAAAATGCAATAATTAGGACATGAAGATTTGTTGAACACTTATTTGTGCCAAATGCGGACACACATCATATAAGAACCCTTCTACAAATATGAATAGCCCCATTTTTCCATGGGAACACTGAGGCTCTACCTAGTTGGAGGAGGTAGGACTGGAATGTAAGCAGTTTAACCATGAAGCTCCAAGTCATGACCACTGCTTCTTCGTATTCTTGCACTGAAGGGTACACAAACTGCCCAGGAGAAAAGGATTAAGGGCTGACTAAGCCAGAAAGCCTCCAGGAGTGTTGTCTTCAGTCTTCAACATGTCTGAAGGGTGAAGTCTCTTACTATGTAACTTCAGGAGGCTGACAGGTAGGGGGAGGGGTTTCTCAAAGGATGAACAGGCACTTTCTGTCAATTTAAAAGAGATGGTATGTGAGGGCCATGCCACCCAGAGGGACCTGCCTGGTCCTTGGCTGAAGCTGTCATCTCACCTGAGAACAGGGTGACAAAGCTAAGGAAACACAGGACCTCATGCTGCTCGTTCCCTGTAAGTCCCAACCCTGCCCCTCTTGCTTATCAGTAATAACCGGAAGATGCCTTTTTCTGCTTTCTCTGCATTGTCTACTGTACTCTGTAACGTGCTGTCTACGTGCCAATGGAATAATGCAGTGCCAGGAAAATAGGACTCTCCTCTTACAAACTGCTTTGTTTCCCCTCGGCAAACAATGAGGATTATACAACCCTCTGTTTCTCACATTTTTGTCTTGCTTTCCAGGAAGTACAAAGATAAATTTCATGCTTAATTAAAGATTCGTCTTTGCCACCGAGTCTGGTATGTTTTTCCTCTTATTTTAATCGAATCATTTACCATGTCTTTTATTATAACCCAATTCAAATCCTTTTTTATAATGGGAAAAATAGAAACTACATATAGGGTAAGGACTTCTCTGCCTCCCACATAAAGCTGTTCCCTAAACCAACAAATGTCTAGAAGCCCGAGAGTCAAGCCTGAGTCCTTCCATCCTCATTCTACTGTTCAGCCACACCACCAAGGGCACTGTGCATTCTTCCTGCACACTGTCTGTGTTAGGCTGTTTCTAGTGTAAACGCTTCCTCTGAAATCTCCCTACCTTCATTTGTAACCCTCTCTCAACTAACTTCTCTTCTGCATATCGCCCACCTCAGCTGCTAATGGCCAGCATGGCATGCCACTATTCTAACCAGTGAATGAATCCTGTGTTTCAGGGTTAGGACTGAAGTCGAGAGAGGCCCAACATCCCTAAAAGCCAATTTAGGTCATTAATGTTCTAGTATATCTTAACTCAAAGCAAAACTAAAGTATTTTGTCAGGGATGTAGCTTGGTGATAGCTTGATTAGCATAAGAACAGCCAAGGGTTCAATCCCCAATACTATAGAAAACAAATTCTTAAGTTTTGTTGGGTGTAGTGGCACACACCTATAATCCTAGCACTTGAGATCCAGAGGCAAGTAAAGGTAAACCTTCAAACCCGGTTTATACCGTGAGACTGGGTACACAGTGAGACTGCCTCAAAATAAATAAGTATCTGCCATAATATCCAGAGCAATGAGATTGGTATAAATAGCCTTTAAAATAAGTATTTGCAGCTGGGCATGGTGATACACATCAGTACTTGGGAGACTGGTGCAAGAAGGACTCCCACTATGTTTAAGAGTAGCCTATGTAGTAAGACCTGCCTCATATGCATGATAGTCTGAATATAACTGCCCCCATTATCTCATAGGGATTGGCACTATTAGGAAGTGTGGCTTTGTTAGACTGGGTATGGTCTTGTTGGAGGAAGTGTGTCACTGTGGGGTTGGGCTTTGAAGATTCCTATGCTCAGAATACTGCCTAATGTGTTGGTGGCCTTCCTGTTATCTGCAAAATGTAGGATTCTCAACTATTTCTCTAAGCACCACATCTGCCTGCCCAATGCCATGCTCCCCGTCATGATGGTAATGGAATGAACCTCTGAAACTGTAAGTGAACTACCCCAATTAAAATGTTTCCTTTATAAGAGTTGCCATAGTCATGGTGTCTCTTCACAGCAATAGAAAACCCTAACTAAGACAGTGTGGTGGAACATGGCTTTAATCCCAGCACTTGGGAGGCAGAGGCAGAGGCAGAGGCAGAGGCAGAGGCAGAGGCAGAGGCAGAGGCAGGTGGACCTTTATGAGTTCAAAGCCAGCCTGGCCTACATAGAAAGTTCCAAGTCAGCAAGGGTTACATAGTAAGACCTTGTCTCCTAAAAAAGCAGCAAGTAAACAAAGAAAAGGTAGATAAACATTCACATACCTGCTTGTTTAGCCTCAATGCAGGCAATATTAATTTCTTCTTTCAAATCCCAGTTTTCATTGGCTATAGCTTCCCCTACTTTAACAAATCTTCCAACTGCCAAGTTGACAGCTTGTCCTACACGCTGAATTGCTTGTAGAGTTTTATCAGACTTTTTGGTATTATCTTTATGGTTAATAAGTGTGGTGATCTAAAAATTAAAAAAAAAATGAAGCAACTTTTAAAACTTTTACCTCAATACTTAAAAAAATATTACAAAGGTCAAAAAAATTAAACCCAGCATATCAGACTAACCCAAGAGACTAAATCAATAGCTTTAGATACTACAACCCCAGGGCCAACCAGCAAAGCATCTTGCATCATTTCTCAGGACAATGCTTCTATTAATTGTGAGTTCACCTGAGGGCGGTTATCTAGGACATACAGTTCCAGATGCTCTCCAGATCGTCCAACAAATCTTAGAGACATGAGAACAGGAGGGGCAAATCACAGGTTCACAGCACTCACAGAAGTTTCCCCAGTTCCACCCAGGTACTGCTCACAACGTAATTGGGGTATACAAAATGGACTTGTGCACTGGAGGTGTATCTTAGCAGCAGAGCATTTGCCTAGCATATGGGGGAACCTTGGTTCAATCCCCAGCACTGTAAAATGATACTTTAGCCACACATGTTTACTGAACTCATTAGCAGCTTTAGAATAACCAGTGTAATCTACTCTTTTAATCCAGTTTTGTTTATCAGCAGCCTCAAAGTACAGGAAATACCAAGAGTTTTATCATTTGGTTTTAAGCACTGATATAAAATATAAAAGGGGACATGTATGGATCATTAAAACAAATGAAAATCTTTAAAGTATCTTAGAAAACTAATGAGTAGACCAGGCACTGGTGGCGCATGCCTTTAGTCCCAGCACTTGGGAGGCAGTGGCAGGCGGATCTCTGTGAGTTCGAGACCAGCCTGGTCTACAAGAGCTAGTTCCAGGACAGCCTCCAAGGCCACAGAGAAACCCTGTCTTGAAAAACCAAAAGAAAGAAAGAAAGAAAAGAAAAGAAAAGAAAAGAAAAGAAAAGAAAAGAAAAGAAAAAAGAAAGGAAGAGAGAAAAATCTAACATGTGCAATACTCACATTTGAAATATGTATTTAAAAACCATTAGATGAAAAACAGATACCAACAGTAAATGTGTTTCACTTTGAAATAATTTATATGGAATGATAACAAGGACTCAAACAAAATACTGGAGAGATGGTCAGATGTTAAGAGCACTGTCTGCTCTTCCAGAGGACAATGATTCAGTTCCCAACACCTAAATGGCAGCTCACAACCATCTGTAACTCCAGTCCCAAGGGATCCAATTCCTTCTAGACTCTTTGGGTACCAGATACACAAACAGTGATCAAACATACATGTAAGAAAATATCCACACATAAAATAAAACTTAAATTTTAAGAAGACTCAAAACAGAATATAAGAGGAAAGTATTCTGTGCCAAGCACTTTTTTCATTTAAGATATTAAGAGCTTAGAATTAACAGAAATGTCTAAATTTGAATCTTGGGGTAGCCATCACATTTAGGAATGAGCTAAGTGATATAGAGAAATGTACTGAATGCCACTACATTTATTTTTGTGTATGTGCTCTTGTGTTCATATGTGCCTATATGTGTTGAAGCCAGAGGTCGATTTTGGATATCTTCCTCAATGGCTCTACACCTTATTTTTTAAGACAGGGTCTTTCAGTGAACCTAGAGTATGCTTCACCTGGACTGGCTGGCCACCGAGCTCTAAGGATCCTACTGTCTCCATCCTCTTTCAATTACCAGGGTCTGAATGTGAGTCACTACATCCAAGTTTTAACTGGGTGCTGGGATCCAACCTCAGGCCCTTATGCTGGTTGTGCAGGCACTTTACCCACCAAATTATCTCTCCAGAACCCTGCCACTAAATATTTTCATCTACAATATTGTTTTCCAACAAATGATTAATATCTGTTAGATGCCAAGTCTTTAGGATGTGTTGTGGTTTGAATGAGAATGCCCCCCATAGGCTCATATATTTGCTTGCTTAGCCCCAGTTGATGAACTGTTTGAAAGGATTAGGAAGGTGGCCTATATTGGGGGAGGTAAGTCTCTGGGGTGGGTTTTGAGGTTTCAAAAGTCCATGTGAGGTCCAGTGTCTCTCTTTCTGCTTATTGCCCGTGGATCAGCATTCCAGTCTGCTTCCTGCCATGATGATAATGGACTAACGCTCTGACACTGTAAGCAAACCCTAACTAATTGCTTTCCGTTATAAAAGTTACCTGGTCACAGTGTCTCCTCACTGCAATAGAACAGTGACTAAGACAGGATGCATGAGTGACGGAGACATACAGTCCTACCTCCCATGTTTGCAGTACAGTAGAGTAACAATTCAATCACACAATATATTTCCTAGGTGAAGTAAATTCTAAGTAATGAAGAAATATCAATGAATGATAAAGAAAAGGTCCATGTACATTCAAATGGAGAAACACTGTAATCCTCTAAATAGATAAATAATTTTAATGTATGTGCTATGTAAAATATAACAATATGCTGTTATACCCATGAAGCCTTCTGAGATTGGCTGCTCTTTCATCTCTGAGGAAGTGGTATTTCAGCCTGAGATAAAATTAATAGTAGCAAGATGGCTGCACCAGGGGATAATGTATTTCAAAGAACAAAAACTGAAGGGTAAGAGGCTTTGGGGACGAGCCTGTCCTGTCAAGATATGAAGTAAAGCCAGAACTGGTTAAAGCAGAGAGCAGAGGGGCAAGCATAAACCAGTGCCCTGTGATGGACGGCCAGGAGCTGGCCATGTAAGGCTGGCAACTGGAGCAAAGAATTCATGTTTTGAACTGGGTGTGGTGGCACATGTCTGCAGTTCCAGGGAGGTTAAGGCAGGAAGGTTGTGAGCTATAGGCCATTTTGAGCTACTGAATGGCATCCTGCTTCAAAAATAGTTTTGTTCTATGCATTACTGGGAGCCCCAGAAAGGTTTTTTACATGGGAATGTGGTATAATATAATCTCTGTGGTGATTTCAAAACATATTCATAAACTCCTTCAGACCTTTCCTTCAAGGAAGCTCTGTTTCTCCCCCAAGTATAAACTCACTTCTGATGGACAGATGACAATGGATATCACAATGCATTTCTGGGCAGGCTTCAGGATATCACAATATCCTCTATGTCTCTGGTGTGTGTGTGTGTGTGTGTGTGTGTGTGTGTGTGTGTGTCTTTCTCTGTCTCTCCCTCCCCTCCTTCTCTCTCTCTGGGACCAATCACAGGGACAGAAAGCTCACTGCCAGTCACAGCTGCTCACATGAGCCAACAAGGTGAGGAATTGCTGCCACAGCCAACAGCTGCAGCAGAACAGAGACTTTTCACAGTCAGATGGGTGAACACAACAGCAGACTCTCAGGCCAGTTTAAGCCTTTGAACTGCCACAGAGCCAGCCAAACACCTTTACTTCAGTTTTGTGATACCCTTAGTTTTTTGTGATTTGGTTCACAATCATCAGGTAAAGTACTACAGAATTCTTTCTTAACTCAGAAACTAAGACAAATGCTTGCTGGTTTAAGGCAGTAAGTTTGAAGTAATTTGTTAGGTATGAATGGGAGATGTCCCCCACAGGCTCAGGTGATGTCATGAACACTGATCCCTATCACTGTAGGAGAAGGAACTTTGCTGAGGAAAGTATGTCACTGGGAGTAGGCACTGAGGTTGTTTGTCTGCCTATCTGTCTGAGGCAGGTTCTCACTATGTAGCACTGGATAGTCTTGAACTTGCAGAGATCTGCCTAGGATTAAAGGTGTGTACCACCACCACACCAGGCTGGCAGATTTTATGCCCTGGTCCCACTTCCTGCTCTCTCTTTACTTTGGGACTGCCACTGCAATGTGACATCATTCTCCTGTTGCTATGCCTTTCTTGCCATGATGGGCCATATTCTTTCTGGAACTGTAAGCTAAAATAAACCCTTTCTCCCCTGAGTTGCTTTAATCGGGGTGTTTAAGAACAGCAATAGAAAACTAATGAAGGTATTGTTCTTTTTGTTGTTTGTTTTCAGGACATCAATTTGTAGCCCTGGCTGTCCTGGAACTCACTCTGTAGACCAGTCTGGCCTCAAACTTAGAGATCCATCTGTCTCTGCCTCTCCAGTGCTGAGATTAAAGATGAGCACCACCACCACCCAGTTTGAAGGTATTGTTCTTTATCAATAGATAGGTAACACAGATTTTGGAACCCAGATCTGGAGAGATGCTATAACAAAACCCAAAATTTGAGAGTAACTTTGAAATTGGGCTGTGTTTGAGTGACTTTGTGGGATGAGTGAAAAGCCCAAGAATGGTGAAGACAGGAGCAAGAGACTTTGTGAGAGTTCTCTCAGTCAGTTTGGACTGCCAAAACAAATACCTTCAGCTGGTCCTATATGAACTCACTGCTTACAGTTCTACAAAGCTCAGGTTCAGGCCTCCATAGACTTAGAGTCTAGTGAGGGGCAGGTCTTCATGACTCTTCACTTAGTAGACCAAGCATAACAAATTCCCTTAGGCTCCTCCCTAAAGCATTAGTTTCAGTCACGACTTAATGGGCTCCAAAAGGCTTCATATGCTACTAAAATTACCATGGGAATTAAGTTCCAATATGATTTTGAGAGGAAACCAACATTCAGACCACAACAAAAGTGTAAGCAAAAGCTTATTTAAAAAAAAAAAAAAAAAGTCGGGTGGTGGTGGCACAGGCCTTTAAATCCCAGCACTTGGGAGGCAGAGGTAAGTGGATCTCTATGAGTTCGAGGCCAGCCTGGTCTACAAAGCTAGTTCCAGGACAGCCTCCAAAGCCATCCCCAGAACCCATGCAAAGCCTGGTGCAATAATAAGGACACCCACACTCCCAAAACTGTTATAGGAGATGGGAAGTGGAGACATAGAGTCCCTTGAAGATCTTGGGTCAGCTAGCCTGCCCACACAAAGGCAAACAATAAGAAAGCCTGTCTCAAACAAGATGAAAGGTGAAATAAACATCCAAGCTTATCCTTTGACCTACACACACACACTCGCGCACATACGCAAGAACACGCGTGCGCGCTCGCGCGCACACACACTGACACCCTAACCCCAACTCCTCCGGGCTAGCTACAGGTGTACCTGGCCACGCCCCCTAGGGTGTGGTCAGGGTGATGTGAGGGAGTTTCAAGAGTGAGGGGCAAGCACTCGGGAGCCCCTTCTTCCTTTTCATCATGGGCTTGCTCTACTTACTCCGTTCCCTGCGGGCTGGCTAGGTTGCTCTGTAAGTAAGGCATCTCCTCAATAAATACCTTCATCTAACTCCATATTGGTA